AGCCCGTTGTAGATCGCAAGGATGTTGACATTTCTCCCATAGTCACCTCTGCAGGAAAAGCTCTCCGATCTTATGAAGTGTCGTTTATTCCACGTTAGACAAGTGAAGACAGCTGGCGCCTCTCAAATTAGAATGACAGTCTTCTTGAATGACAGTCATTGCCCATCCTGATGAGATTGAGACACTCAGATAATTTGCTAGTTTCTTCAGGGACAGAAAAGTTATGCTTTTAAAGAAAAGTAATTGCATGCTGTTCTTATAATCAGTACAGCCAGCTCTAAACAGAATCATAGTGGGTGACTGTGTAGGGAAGGTGACAGTTCTTAGGGAGAATGATAGAGGCTCTCCTTTGCACTTACATTACCAGCTCAAGTTCCTGTCTAGTTCCTGACATGTCAGGGTGTGCAGGCTCTAAGAACCCTTCTGCTGTTGCTGCTGCTGGTGTCCCCATCACCTGAACCTCTCAGCACAGGAGAAAAAGATGCTTGCCCCACAGACTGTTTCAGGCACATCTCTCTGTGTTTTCAGTGATCTGTTGCTTGTGATCTGTTTGTAAAGGAAATCATAAAGCAACATGGAACCATTTCATTCTGTCAGAACACGACCATCTACTGTATTCTTGTCCTAGTACATATAATTTACCCATAGTGTGGAACAAGTTAATATGATGGCTGAGCAAATGGATCCTCTCTTCTGTAATTATAGTGAAGGTCTGTAAAAATAAAATCTATACTGCAAATCTAATGAGAAGTAGTGCACCAAATTGTTTTTTTACATTCCTGAAAGACATGTTCCAGTGGAAAACCCTTCTCCACAAAGCTTAGATACACAAATACTGTGCAAAATAGGCACATATCTGACTGTTTTATTTCACTTGTTTATATGAAATGCACTATGGCTTTAAGACATGATCTAGAAAACTTCCATTCTCAGAAACAATGTGGAAGAAGACTGGACTGACCTTATTAGTCCTACCAGAGCAAAATCTGCAATTACAGCACTTTTCACTGTGATAAAAGAGAGTGAAATAATACTGGGATCTCCATTATGCCATTTACAAGCTGAATGGCATCTGGCTTCTTCTCATTACTTTTATGAAGTATGTGCAGATCACTAGATTAATTTTTAAAACATCACTTAGAAGACGCGTATGAACTGACAAAGACAGATCTATGGATTCAGGTCTGGCATTTCCCAAACTGATCACATTCCCTGCAACATATAGCTTACTGTGATTGCAGTGAAAACAGAGCTGAATCTTTGCTATGTGGAACAATATAGTACTTGTAATATCACCACAATGTCATGTTAAAGCTCTACAGAAAAATCAAACCATGCAGGATTTTCAGATTGCGCAGACCTAGTTTCTCAACTTCATTGTTTCTCATCCATACAATACAGACAAAAAAATGAAGATATGTGAGTATCTGCTAGGATTATGATCTGGTTGCTTCAGGCTAAACTGTGGGTAAGGATAATGCCCAAAGGAAAGACACAAATGTGTCTGGAACAGAGAGGTAGCATAACAACATTTCAATCAAGAAGGAGCACCAAGGTTGAGAAAGACCTCCAAGATCATCCAATCCAACCAATATTTCCTCACTAAACAGTCATAGAATCATAGAAAGGCTAGGATTGGAAGGGACTTCAAGGATCATCAAGCTCCAGTTCTCCTGCCACATGCAGGGCCACCAACCCCCATATCTAATACTAGACCACGCTGTCCAGGGCCCCACCTGGGCTTTGAAAACCTCCAGGGACAGGGCATCCACTCTAGGCAGCCTGTTTCGGCACCTCACCACCCTCTTGGTAAAGAACTTCCCCCTGATGTCCAAATTAGTCTTCCCTCCTTCTACTTAAAACCATTTCCCCTTGTCCTGCCATTATCTACCCTTGTAACGAGTTAACTCCCCTCCTCTTTGTAGGCTCCCTTTAAGGTACTGGAAGTCTGCAATGAGGTCACCCCACAGCCTTCTTCTCTCCAGGCTGAATAAACCCAGCTCCCTCAGCCCATCTTCGTAGGGGAGGTGCTTCAGCCCTCTCATCATCTTTGTGGCCATCCTCTGGACCCTCTCTAACAGTTCCCTGTTTTTCTTCTATTGGGGACACTAGACCTGGACACAGTACTCCAGATGGGGTCTCACAAGGGCAGAGTAGAGAGGGACAATCACCTCCCTCTCCCTGCTGGCTACCTCTCTTCTGATGGACCCCAGGATACCATTTGCTTTCTGAACTGCAAGAGCACACTGCTGGCTCATGTTAAGTTTTTCATCCACCAACAATGTCCATCAGTACAACACCTTAACATTTCTCAAACACCTCCAAGGATGGTGACTCAGTCATCTCCCCGGGCACTGCATTCCACTGCTGTAGACAATTTAAAGTTTCTCAGGTGATCCAAGTCAAGGCAAAGCCAAAGAAGAGTCTGGGATCTGAAAGAAACACAGTTTAACTCCTTGCAGAAAAAGACAGAAACAACTCACTTGCCTTAAAATCACCATTTCTATCCAAGAAATGCTCTGGCATGAATTGATCTGGATCTAGAAATTCTCTGCTGTCGTACAGATTTGTGATAGTGCATACTCAGATTCCTGAGAATAACAAACATTAAGGTTTATAGTACAGCTCAGACCCTGCATTAGAGGGTGGAGGTTTACACCACATTGTGTGACTGAACTATCAAATAACTTTGCATGAGACAGCTTTCTTAAATTCCCTATCCTTGTCATCTCAAAGTTCAGGTTATTATAACCTTAATAAAGGCTCTGCATGTTAGGACCTCAACTCTTTGAAAGGGAAGATAACTGCAGGACAAGGGGGAATGGTTTTAAATTGAGTGAGGGAAGATTTAGGTTGGATGTCAGGGGGAAGTTCTTTACTATGAGAGTGGTGAGATTCTGGAACAGGCTGCCCAGGGATGTTGTGGATGCCCCATCCCTAGAGGTGTTCAAGGCCAGGTTGTATGGGGCGCTGGGCAGCCTGGTCTACTATTAAATGGAGAGGTTGGTGGCTCTGCATCTGGTAGGGGGGTTGGAGCTTGATGATCCTTGAGGTCCTTTCCAATCCAGGCCATTCTTTGATTTTATGTGACCAAAATCAGCAACTATCAGCAAATGGCTTGCACCAGATTTGGTATCCATTGCTTTGTTTCTTGGATGTGATATCAACATCTCCACCTTCCATTAATTAAGCACATACATTCATATTGATCTTCATTGCTTAACCTCCTGTATGACAAAATTTGTGTCATGCGCTTGGTTTCAATCATCTGAACGGGGTCTTTCTTTGATTTTATATTGTCAGTTGGTGAACTGGTCCATAATCATTTTTCTTTGCAGTCCTTATGAACTACTTATTCAAGTGATTATTCATGTACCAACCTCACAGTCATGGACTAATTTTCATTCCATCATTTCTATTTTGTCAACTGTATTGAGTCAAAGCAAGAAAGAATGGTGACATTTTTTGCTCTGTCAATACTCTTGTTTCTTCAACTGTAATCCTTTATATAAGCAGTGTGTGAGACTGCTCTGTATCTTGGGGACACATGCCTAGGAATGGGTGGGCAAAACTGTCACAGTCATTCCACAAGTTGATCTTTTAGCTACACATAGGCATAAACAAATTGGTTAGGACACAGGCACAGGTTCAGCTAAAGAGCTGAAGTAAGGTTACTTACTACCTCTGGTTACTGCCTATCCTGCTCCACTATTCTAGGTTTTCTTAAAGCTTTTGTTAGTACAAATAACACCACCACCAAAAGAAAAACAAACCTACCCAGCCATAATAACTCTCAGAGGAAAATGCATGGGACTAATGAATTAAAAAGTTTAGATGGAAATCATCACAGTAAAAAAGGTACCATGTAGCTCACAGTATCTTTTTTTGTTTTTCCAAAACATACTTTAGAAACTCAGCACTGGCTCAAAACATGCCTGAGAAGGGCTCTTCTGGATTACCTGTGGATGAGATACCCAATAGAGAGGAAGTGCATTGCCATCACCAACTGATCAGTCTCTGGACAAATATAATTTATCTTAAAAAATACACCCTTATTATTACAACTACAATACAGTCCCAAGTTTTTTAATCACTGGACCAGGTTCTGCTTAATGTGCACCATTAAATCGTGCAAACTCCCTTGACATCTTCTGAAGGCAAGTCATTCTTCAGGTCTGGTTAGTATATTTCTTATGAAGGGCAAAGCAAATGGTTCAGGAGGCAACTTCCCTATTTCAGACATCTTCCTCCATGTAGGCTGAAGAGACAAGGAGATAAACAATGCAAACAGTAAGAAAATAGTTGTGAATCCCAGGGGTTCCATTACAACACGAAACAGGAATGCTGAATCAAAGGAGGGCTTGATGCTGCATCCTGGAAATCTCCCTTTGTGTATGCTATAGCTTAATAAATAAATTAATTAAATAAATAAATAAATAACAGTGCAAAGGCAATCAATAGCTCCTGCTTCCTCTGGACTAAGCATAACTGGTTAGATAAAACCAATAGCTGCTGACAAACTTGGATGAACTGCTTTATTTTATTTTTTTTTAATTTTTTTGAACCTTGACCTCTGTCAAGGTTCCACTTCATTCTACTGTAATACCAGAAAGCAGGGACAAACATTAATCATTAACAAATCTCTCATTAACAAAACTCATCATAATTTCACAGAATGTTTGTTCTCTACATATTGCTTTTTTTTCTTGTATGCTTGCCATCAGGTGCAACGCTGCACACGTAACATATTTAGCTAGAGACCAATATTGGATAACTTCTGCCATATTTGCTGTATTTGCTAGGATAAGTTTTATCTCCAGTTTGCAGTTGCAGTTCAACTTGTCAAGAACTGCTTTCAGCTTCAAAGCAGTTGCACAAATCACTTTAATGAAATACTCTGTCCCTTGATTCTAATCCATCAACCCTCTTTCCTCTGTGATCTTCCATGTTCTTTCTTCAAACACTACTATTTTCTTATTATCTTTTGCACCAGGAAATGCCACAGAAGAGAAGAGAGGAAGGTTTACCATCTCCCTGTGCTTCCTCTGGGATGTCTCATGGACTTTCCAGGCAAAATATTTGAACAGCAACCTTTTGGACTACACAGTTTGCTAGCAATACGCTGTTCAAAGGAATTTCACCATGTCTCTCCTGTGGTGCTGCTTTTCAAAGACCTGCCAAACTTGCCATGATTTGGATTCCACCACTCACATAGAGAGCCCTCAGAGAGGAGAATGGCTGTTTAAAGACAGAAATGAGAACACAGTTGCCAGCTCCTGGCATAATTGGGATGCCACCATCACATAATCACTCAGGTACTCATTCTCTAAAATTTTCTCCCAGTGAACAGTCGCTTGTGAGGCATCTCCAGTCTCTGCCTCCTGCAGGTGCAATACTCAGGAGTCTGTGGAGCAGTTTACTATGTCTTAACTCTTTTACTTGAAAACACAAAGTGCAACACATAGCTAGATGGTTTCTCATCTTCAGAGTTCCTGGAGTTTTCCACCTTTGTAATTTTAAAACAGCACAGCTTTTTCTTCAAGGAGAAAAGCAATAGTTTTAACAGAATACTGGTCCTTTCTTTTAACTACTTTATCTTATGGAAGTTTTCTCTGCTGAAACATCACCCTCTTGTGGCCATCTTGCAAATCTGCCAAAAAGGAAGAGAAGCAGAGAAATGCTGTATTATTTTTCTTTGAAATTTCCTATGCTTTGATCATATAGATTCCCAGACTCTCCAATAGCATGTCAGTTTGTACTGTGTGGTGAGAATCTCACATCAACCACCAAATGCATCCATGAGTAAAACAAGATGTGGCTAAGTCAGCAGTTCTAAGAAAAACATACACAAACACAACTGCCGCTGAAGTGTATTTAAACCTATTCTTCAGCCTCACTAGAAAGACAAACCAGACGCTGGGGCTCTAACAGTAAAGAGGTGGCATGGGGAAGGCTAGGAAGCTCCATGCAGACAGCACTCTCCAGGGTGAGGCAAGTGTAGAGGTAATGAGATTTTACTCACATGTGACCGTATTTATCTGACTACTGTCACTCTGTCCCCTTGACTGCCTTGACCCTGAAGAGAGAGAAAGAGTACCTGCTAATAAAATGTGCATGGATGCTCTCTTAGAAGGCATTAATCCCGTTTCAGTTGTGACACCGACAGCATCCTCAGCTTTCAGACATATCTTTGGAGACCAGAGAGATGCTTCTTACAGCTTACAGCTAATACACGTGTAGTCCAGAGTGGTGTTCTGCAGTGACAATCTGTCTAATCATAAATTTCCAGTTTTCTGCCAACTGAAGGACAAACCTTAGCCTTTGTGCGCTTGAGAATGTGCTCTTCCTTGGCTAGCAAGTCTATCTTTACGTGCAGTATCTTTGCCCAAACAGGGCAGAATATATATCCAAATTCTGTGTTAGGAAAACTTTCAATCTGCTTGCCATAATGTCCAAAGCTGGCAGTGGCAATATCACATGCTGCATGGTCCTAGGTGACCCATTCTAGGTGACCATGCTTGAGCAGGAGGTTGGAGAAATTGGCTTTGAGATCCCTTCCAACCTCAACTATTCTGCGATTGCATGTTTTAGGGAAGAAACTGTGGCACGGGGGGAGATTTATGCACTGAACAAATATTAAAGATGATGACACCTTTTTTTTTTTCCTTTTTCTTCTAAGCAAGACTCATAGCTCTGAAATATATTCTCCATTACATGCCTTCCCATGGCATCAAGATAAACAGGGTCTAAGGCAGCCACAGTAGGAAGCATTGAAGGACATAAATAGAAAACAGCATGGAGAGCAGTGCAGTTCTTCATGGTCTGTTCAGGAGGTTACACAGCAAGGCTGCTATAACGATTCCAGTGACAAAGGATTCTTAGAACACTACGAGTTTCAGTGTCTCAAGTGTAACGTGGACAGCATGTACTAAGGAAAATGGGATGGTGACTGCAATGCATCTTAAATACAGCAGGGCTGACCTGTATTCAGTTCTGTACCCAACTTGGTTTGTCTCCACAAGGTCTGATAACATGGTACACATCTGATAATGGAGCTGACTTGCACATAATTGCCAGCACACTGCCATTACAGTATGGAGCCTGTCTGAGTCACGTTCCATTCAATTCCAGTATTTGATTGGTAGGTTATCTGACAAAAGAAGAATTTATTTGACTTGCTGACTAGTGATAGGACAAGTCACTGGCACTTAGAGCTACACATCTGACTCATCACATAGACAAGATCACAATGCTCTACACAGCACATGGCCAGATTGACAGTGTAATACGGGGATGCAAATCTGCCACCATTTCACATTGCCCTTGCATCTTGCCATAGCACAGGGCCAGCTGCTATTCTGCAGAGAATAATCCCCCTATGTTAGCACTAGCTACGTACTTCCAGCACCACTTTCCAGGAAGGAGTAGGAAATCAAAGAAACCACTAGGCTGGAAGAGCAATGGTCTCGTTTCAATCCCAGATGAGCCTATGCTGCTAAGATTCCCAGTGACTATTCAGCTCTAGATTCTGATGCCCACATGTCAAGAACCATTTCCAACCTGATAGGAACTACTGCGTTTTCTGTTCTTAGAGATGGATAGGGGTCAGGTAAGAGGACTGGCAGGGGATCAGGAATTATGTTCCCACCCACATGTGAATGCAATATGTTGTAATGAAAATCCCAATTTGTTCAGGGAGCAGAGGATCTGAGTAGCACCCTCAAGATAGATTTCTTATCAGCAGCCAAGGATCTGTGATCCTCCTCCATAACAGCAAAGGGATGGTACTGACAACACTGGTGAGCCTGGCTGAAACATGCTCACCTCTCGTACAATCACAGGTGCTGGGGAAACACTGGGGAAACAGGACTCTGCCACACCGTCTTATTGCTGTTGATACATTACACTTTTGAGCATCAAAGATCACAAAGAAACTACTGTCATTCAAATATCAGTTTCTAGGCACGAAGGTTTTAGATGTGTGTCACTACATCCTCTTGTTGGGCTGGAGGAAGTTGCTCTCATAACAGTACTAATGTTTAATTAATTACACAGGTAGAAAACTCATCAGTGAACTAACTGTGAGCAAAAGCAACACAGACACAGATACATGGTTATCTTTGGGAGACTCGACCCTGTTAATATATTGATGCTCATTCAAAAAAACCTTTCTCAGAGTCTACATCAGTCATGCAGAGTAGCACTTTCCATGTTAAAACCCAGGACTTCCTAAGTGATGCTGAAGGCTCTCAAAGGTCTTGCTGTACAGTTTTTAAATAGCACTAAGGAAAACTTGACAATCAACCATTTATACAGTGGTTATACAATAACTGGCAGAATCGTGCTCTTTACCATATTGGCACCTCACAAATCATACTTCCAAACAGCTAGTATGAAGTTTGAACTCTATCAGTAATTGTTCTGTTCTCTACTGGAATCCAATCAAAAGCCAGCTTCAACTAGTTTGAGTCAATAGGTATAAAAAAGCCCAAACTTTGTCTGGGTGTTCAGTAAAAAGGTTTCTGTCAAATTAGCCATTTGGAGTACTGTTCATCTGGTAGAGGAATTTTCTGTGCTGGGTATACCTCTTCAAAAATGAATAGGATCAAAAACAGAAACTTCTTTGGGAAAGTAGAGAAAGGATGTACTAAGTTAACTAAGCACATGTTAAAGTGATTGTAATTTCATCAGAGGTCAGGACAGTCAAAGGATATAAATGCAGGAATACTTCACACAAGAGTTTAAAGCATGTTTTTTTTCTACAATTTCCAGTAACTGTACAGTGCTTGTCTTTATTATCAGACCCTATGAAAAACTTACACAGCCTTTCCAACAGGAATTTGTGAGATTTCAGAGAGACAAATGTAGCAAGTTGTTTTATTTTAAGTTTATAATAACTAGTCTCTCTATTTTAAACAGATAAAAATGCATAACAAACTTAAGTGTTTTCAGTACCATGCTCACAACTCCAAAGGCCAGGGAATCTTCTCAATACAGACCTCAATGAAAGAAAAAAATTGGTTTATGTCCTGCTGCTACTAAGTGAAAATGTCTTTGTAGGTTATGCAGGGCTCTTCCTTGGTAGAATGTTTCACGTTGAACATAGGACTAATGGAGGGATAGCCAGTATCAAGATGTGGGTTAGGGACAAGTTTCAACTTTCCACTGCTGAACTGAGGCAACAGAAACATTACAGAAGAGGAAAACACCATTCAGCCTTAGGCCTGAATACAGCCAACTGTATTCAATAGATTAAAAAAAAAAACAAACAGTCTTACGTTAGCTATTACCAAATCCTTGTCAACATATAAAACCGATGTTGTGCAACTCAGAGATCAGTTTGACCCACAGCCCAACTTCAACTTAAAAAGACAGTTGCAGTTTCATCGTTTCTCCAGTTTTTTGTACTTGGCTTCTGCAGAAGGAAAAATAACAGTATTTTAGGACTGGACAGGTAAAAGATTTTAATCCTGTACTCTTCTATACATCTTGAAATCCAATTTAATTTAGATGAATCACTTGAGGCCACCTTCTCCTAAAGCATCTGGGCAAATCTAATTGAACAATGGGATTTTTAAGAACTAGATACTCAGGTCAGACAATTCACATTAACATAAGCCAAGGGGACTTAGGTGCCTGGTGGAACTTTATAAATGCCTCAATTTGCAAGATTAAGTATGTGTCTTGAATATTTGTATCAGTCCACATTGCACAAAAGAAGACATTAAGACTCATTAACAAGCTACAGTTCAGTAAGACCTATATGAGTCTATGTCCTTATAATTTCAAACATTAATCTTTTATCAACATTTTCTGCTTCACATACACTTCTACCGGTCATTATTTTGAAAGTGATCAATACTATGCTGCATGGGCAACTCTGTCACTGAGACATGTTAAACAAAGCACTTTACTTTGTTTTCTTAAATCTCCTTACACAGGACTAGGCTGCTAGGTAGTAAGAGCAGAAGACAATAGTTACCAAGTTTTTTGGAATATGCATCCAATTTATAAGCTGCCTGTTCCAGAGCTGCAACCTGCTCCTCAATTAGGTTGATTTGTTCCAGATATGGCTGAAGAGCAGCATCTTTAAAGGCCAGAAAAATACCAGATGTCAGTTCTTACTAATTCAATTCCAGTAAACAGTTCACACTCATTATGTTCTTCAGATAAAATAGTTTAAAAGCTCCTTCCTTTTCCCACTCCAAAATCAGGTAGTGGTACTGACAGACGTATTCCAGCATAAAACAAAATCTTTAAGAGCACTGTTAGACTCAACACAAATAACAATACAATTGTATCAAAAGTAGTGTTATTTAGTCCTTACTATTTCAAAATCTGGGGGTAATACAGTATGTAAGTTCTCTTAATTTAGTCTACATAGTCTATAGCTGTAATGAAGTACAGAAGATTGGCATTTTCTAACACTATACAGCTCTTAATGAGTTTTTTTTCCTTCAGAACCACTGGAAGGTAAACTATCAACATCTTAGATACTCCAGCTCCCATACAAGAGCACAGTTAATTATTCTCCTCCCTTATCTGGTTTACTTACATTTTTGATTTAAATCCTTCAGATTTCTACTGATGTTTATAGCAATATCTTTCATTTCGAGGTACTTCAAGCTCGTCAACTTGTTCATGTTTTCCAAGAGCTTGTAGTCTTCGCTGGTGGCTTAAAAACAATAGAGTTTATTTTAATTAAATGCTGGCGCAGTTTGAACTGGGTACAGACTTTTCTAGAAGACAAGAGATTTCAAAGCAACAGCCAAATACAGTAGGAATAGTTTAGATGGCAGTAGAGGTATTAGTATAACGCTGTATATGTATGCAGATTGAGCTTTGGGCAATCCCAGTACTTTCTCAGTCTCACAGACATCCTTGCCTATCGCAGCAAAGTCACTTTGATCCAGGATCTCAAGACAGAATACAGTGATATTCAGAAGACAAATTACAAGATTTCTGGTTCCCTATTCATATTACAGGGATAACAGATCTTCTACACACACACAGTAATTTGGAAGGATAATAGTATTACAGATATCAGCAGCCTTAAGAAGTAGCTCAACAGGTATTTGCATCAGTGATCTAACTGCTAAGTCTTTCTTGCTTTTAGCAGGAACTTAGATGATCTGCGGGGGTACCTTTCAACCTAAATTACTGTCATTGCCTGATACAGAACCAAAGCAGTCATACAACACTGCGACCTTTAAAAATGAGCATATGAAGCACCTAGGATAAACAGAACAGTTACCAAATGTTATGATTTTAACTGATAAACAACTTAAAAAGTTTAAAAAGTTCCCACAGTGCAATGATCTAAGGCAGTATCAATCTCCAGAAACTAACATTTCAGTTTACTTTTCACAGTTTATTCTAAAGCATGAATGCTGGAAAATGTATGTATGAGCCGTGCTCTCACTCAGATAGGAAATAGCTACATATGTTCCACTCTCAGTTCTGCTTCTCTTCCTGTCCTTCTTCACCTACACTTCTCCATAACATGCACAAGCTTCTGCAGAACAGAAAAATAACTCATTCTGGTCTCTGATAAACTGAATATTTGAAAAAATATCTGGACTAATCTGGGACTTCATTAAGTCATCAATTCACTAATGTCAGCACTGTTAGCAGTCTAGCAACATATAAGTCTTGAAGTGCCAGTTTTACTAGATATTACAACATACAGTTTATATGCAAACAACACAACAGAGTTTCTTAAGAGAAAATGAAAAGAAACATAAATTTACTTGCAAGTCAGCATTGCAATGCCTTACCTGTCAGTTCACCCGTTAAGTAAGTGGCCATTTTGCTGAACATATCTTTACAGAGCTCATTGATGTCCGCTTCTGCTGGTTCCTTAGCTTCCTCTGCTGTTTCCACAGCGGGATCCTCTGATCAGGGTACAGACATCACAGGATCAGGGAAAGTCAGCAGGTACAGAAACAGACCATAAGAATTAAACAGACCCATTGTTTGGGGCTACTTTTTTATACTGACCTACCTTCTACACAAAACGTCTCCTTTACACTAAAGGGTAACAAACCGTGGCTGTTTTCTCAAAGGAGCGTCAAGGCTACTTTATAGCACTCCAGGAGGCGTGTAAGGGGCAGACACCCGTCCGGACTGCTGTTACACAGCTCAGCCCCTAAAGGGCCTGGGGGTGGGCCTTCGTGGGACTGGCTTCTAAGGACTCTGCACGCAACGCTGCTGATCTTTATTTCTGGTCACTGACTTAAAACACGAGAGCCGCCCCCAGGCCAGCTTCACAAGGAGCCACAGATTTCCAGCCACAGAAAGCAATAACCGCTGCATCCCTCACAGAAACCCGCTCCTCCACAGCCGGCCCTCGTGCTGCTTCTCGCAGAACCAGCGCAGCTCACGGCTCCGTTCTGCTTTGCTTCCGGCCTGAAGGCAAAGGCTCTCGGTTTCCAGAGGGGACTGCAATCTCGTCTCCAGCCAGCAGGCAGGCGGACAGACGGACAGACGGACGGACGGACGGACGGACGTCCCCGCCTGCAGCCAGCCCCCAGCCCAACCTGCCTGCCCCGCCCTAGGCCGGGCGCGGGCCGCGGCCTGACAGCCCGCCAGCGGCCGCGCGGCCAAGGAGCAAACTCGGCCCCGACCCCCCGGTCCCTTACGCTTGGCGGGCTGCGCGCCGGCCTCGGGCAGCCCCTCCGCTGCGGTCGCCATGGCGACAGATCCCCTCCCGCGCCGCCGCTTCCGCCGTCGCCCTCGCGCAAGGCCGCGGTCCCGCCCCCTCGCCGTCGCGGCGCGTGCGCGACCCCAAGAGAGCCGGGTAACACCGCCTCCTTCGCGCAACGCCGGGTCTCGACCGCTAGGGGGCGCTGTCCGGATGCGGGGACACGGGGGTCGGGCTGCGCGGTGGCGGCAAGGGAGGCTGCGGTGTACGACACGGTGCGGCTGTAAGTCAGTGACACAGATCTGTGTCTCTTCTGTGTCTAGGAGTTCACATCTGGGCACGGTGTCACCAAAGCAGAGCAGAGAGACAGGACCACCTCCCACCCACTGCCGGCCCCGCTGCTTTTGTCATTAATGAAGATGTTGAAGAGCACCGGTTCCTGATGGACGCCACTTGTAACCTGTCTTCGTCTGTACAGTGAGCCACTGACCACCACTCTGGGTCTGATCTCACAATCGTTTCCTCATCCATCGAGCAGTCCACCCATCAAATCCCCATACTGCAGAGGACCATGCCAAAGGCTTTATACTCTGGCTTTGTGCTGCCCCTGGCTTAGCAGATGAGGTTTTCCATGGAAGTGACAAGCTGCCCTCCTTGCTAAAGCTGCTGGCATGAAACGGGCTGTGCTGACTGTGGTAAGCTTTGCTGCAGTTACCACGGCCGAGTTATGTGTCTTTTTCAGTGCAGCCTTAAGACCTACTATATAGAGATGGTGCTGTTTAAACAGGAAGTCTGCTAAAAAGATTTGCTACGCATACATTTTTTCATTTCTAAAAAAAAAAAAAAAAAAAAAAAAAAAAACCTAAACAGCTTCTTAAACAGTAAGAAGTGTTGGGGTTGTTTTTTTTTGTGTTTTTTTTTGTTTGTTTGTTTTTTTTACATTACAACAGTATCATATTTCTCTTCGGTGCTATGGCTTTTACCACTGCTCTTTAGATCTCATCAATGTTTCAGCCCCTGCCACCCAGCAGCTCAGGCTGCCCAGGACCCCAACCAACCTGGCCCTGAATGCCTCCAGGGATGGGGCAATCACAGCTTCCCTGGGCAGCCTGTGCAGTGCCTCACAGCCCTCTGAGTAAAACGTTTCTTCCTCCTACTCCACTGACATATTTTCTACGGAGTAACTACAAAAAGTATAACCACTATTGCCTGGCACTGAGAGCTCATTCTCCTTACAGACTTCAAACCTGAATGCATCTCCAACACACTACGAATGAGTCTCTGGCTCTCCTCAGGTATGATGGGCACTTAGAAGGGGCAACATATAAAAGCATAAATGTCTTCAAAGGAAAATATTTCCTTGTGCCTATTTCCTTTACAAGTTAGCCACAGCAGCTCTACAATATAAAATTTGGTAAGTACCTAAGGAATTATGAGAAATATATTCTCTTACCAGAAAAAAAAAAAACCAAACACCAAAAACCATGGAATCTTACAGTAATACATTTCTTCTTAACAAACAAAATCATATAATCATATGGAGATCATTCTCCAGAAACAATGGGGCAAGATTCCCATCTTAAGTCCAGTAAAGTCAGTTGAAATCTTTGGCCACATCCAGAAGGCTCTAATAAGCTTTGTAGTTTTAAGACCTGAGAAGCTGTGAAGAAAGGCAATGCAGGAATTTATGTGAACTTTCTCATAAACCGGAGTTTGAGATAGGCAATGAGAAGGAAAATAACAGTCATGCATAAAAGAGCTATTATGTTTTCCCACATTGCCATGTTAGTAGGTGCGATTCCTTGGCTGATCAGGTAATCTTCACCAGAGCACCTGCAAAAAAAGCAAGGGGCAGAATTTGGTATTACTATGTTGTGCAAGATATTATAGGTCTTCAAGCAGTTCCTTTTATTTTCCTGTTGCACTAAGATTCCTCCATCCATAACTGCAAAACAGACATAACAGAAACAGACTAACTTAACTTATCATGGGGGGAAAAAGAACATTTCCAATAAGGGAATTGGTTCTCTGCTGTACCTGCTGCTAGGTCTGTAAATATTAAACAAGCTCTGAAGGACAGGCATGTTTCTAATCTACTGTTTCATACTTCTACTCTGATTGTATACACATTGTATTTCCACTGATAACTGACTCTGGGATTTGCTTAATAAAACTGATAACCCAGAGCCAAGTTATCAAAAACAAAATTTAGCTAATCTCCCTATTTTTAGGAAAAGTTTCATCCCTACTTCAATTTGGAGTAAATGGCTGCATAATTCTAAAGCACACTTTTTTTTTTTTTTTTTTTTTTTTTTATACAAATTCTTGAAGAGACTGGCTTGTGAATAGTTAGCCTGTGAGTAATATAATGTTTTGAAATAGGCTGGCTAATCCTTAAGCAAGCCATTACAATTCAGGCCCAAGAATCTTCATGAGGTAGACTTACCTTGCTCCTGAAGTAACTGGTGGACAAGTGCTTGCATTTCCCACAGACACTGTAACATTTGAATTGTCACCACAGAAGTAGAGATCTCTAAACTCATTCACTTGAAGAGCCTAGGGGAAAAAGGTGTCAGATTTTTCAGATAGTGATTTAGTGTGCTAAAGCTGAAACAGCTTAAAGAAAACTGATGAATGGAAGACATGTATATATGATTCCAAGACTGATAATACCTTTTAGGCTTGAACAGAGTGACTCAAAAAAATTAGTTCCCAGCCCTTATTTTGAAGTTCTTAACTACTACCTTTCTGAGTATCTGCTCCAAGTTCAACATGCAGGATGGTTTGGTGTCTGAATCTGTGGCTTCAGAGTTATAATTCAGTGATGTAGCCATGGATTTCTGTCTTGCCAGCTATATGTCCCCATTTATCTGAGTCCATCTGCACTTTCAGAAGTTGTGTCTGCATGCAGACCACCCAGCACCAGCACACTGAAGCAGGAGGGACAGTCAGTCAAAGCAAGAAGCAAACGGCTCCTTTGCACTGGTACCCTGGGCTAACTGCAATCTTAAGGAGCACTTCCACATTCAGCAACAGATAGAACACCTCAGTGATGCCCAAACTTCTCTAAGACACAGCACTGCAATTACTTTCCCTACAGGAGACCAGTGCTACATTGTACTCACAGTAAGGCCGTATCGAGGGATGCTGAAGTACTTGAGCCAATTAAGCCAGCCCATTACAGAAGGGAGGTTTACAAGGAGGCCAGAAAAGATCTGAAAGAAAACAAGAGACTAATAAGTCACAACTCAGTTTACTGCAAACAATGCCATTCCTGCACCGATACTATAGCAGATATATAGGGACACTGTGATAGATTAATCTCTTCATCTCTTCACAGTATTATGCCTATGATTACAAGTAGAGGCAAGTCTTTGACTATAGCAACAATAAAATTGCAGGCACAAGGCTGATGAGCTACTGAACTGTGGATTCTCTGCATGCTTAGGGCTGGCTCGGTACAGGAGACAGTCCTCTCAGTATGGATCCTAAAGCCATCTGTACTCTGAAGGCTGTTTCCTCCTGAGCAGCACACACCTTTACAAGCTTTACTTACAAGCATCAGGACAAAACAAATAGTGATGAGCAGATTGGCCACAGCAACCACTTCCATCCCAGCACTGATAGCCAGAGACATGGCTGTAGCAGTATAGGACACCATTACCAGGGCCAGCATGAAGAAGAAGAATCTGCCTGCTACAGCTTGAAATCCTGTCAAGCAGAAAGAAAAATGTCCAATAAAAAGCCATATCACAAGTCCCAAAGAGGTACCCCTGGACTCCCACAAAAGACACAGAAAGCAAGAAGAAAAGTTTAGTTTGGAGTTGGCAGCAGCTGTGAATGCTCTAAGGGTCCCAAAGAGCATTACCGAAAGACATGGACAAGCAGGTCCTCTCTTAAGACTGCTGGTACCTCTGCCCCCAATTCCTCAGAAGTTATGATGCCAAGCATCTAAATCAGTTGAAGGTTTAGTCTGTTTCAATTTAGATAGAGGAATTATACTCTGGCTAAGTCAGATATCAAATGTATTGACAGATGGCAGGTTCAACAAAAGCATCAATTCATTACCAATCATCCAGTAAGTGATGCACGAGAATATGATGGCTGGAGCAGTTCTCATGGGCAGTAGATCTCCTAACATCAAAGCCAGGAAGTAGGCAGAGACACGATAATATCCACTGGTGTACTGATGGCTGTGAGGACAGGAAGGAGGGGAGTTGCACAGGTTTAGAGCTGATCTGAGAAGCAAGCTCAATAAGCGTATCTGGTTTATCCTGATTCGGTTTCTTTTATTTCTACCACTGACTCAAAGTGCAAAGTTTGATTATTTTCTCTGTACTATCACTTTCCACTCCCAGACAAAGCAAAGGCTGATCCAACTCACAAGCCATGTAGTGATAGTGGAAGCACTATGAGTGAAATGCGTGGAAAGTTACGTGACAGCTAAATAACACTGGAAAAAAGCTCCAAACATTTAGTTTAAGAACAAACCTGAACACAAAAGCAGGGGATAGTAATAGATTTAGTAACTAGAAAAACAGTTCATCCAAAGCTAACTCATACAACTGTTTCCAAGAAAGAATGGCTACCAAGAATGGGAAAGCACCTTAAGGACATCAACTCATCTCCAGTTCACAGAGCAATTAAATGTCACTATGATTGCTTTGCTGCTTATTGGAGCTCGTGAAAAGATTCTGTAAGTGGTAAGGTGTCAAAATCCCCACTGACACAGTCAATAAGCAGAACAGAATGGCAAAAAATGTCAGCATGGGCGAGATTCATTTCTGAGCAGCCCTTAGGAAAAATGCCAAGCGTGAGCAAGCCAGGGTGGATGTATAAACATCAAAACTAGCACCTCAGAGAAACACAACACTCATTTTCCAGGCACAACTCTCCAATTTCCTCTTTGCTGCACAGGATACGTCTCTTGCTCTTTTATGAGCAGAAGGTTATTCCAAACTGTATTTCTGACATACGTGTATATCTACTCATTTATTTATACATGTTTATTTGCATACACACACATATGTAATGTATTTAATATAGATGTATGCATATACAAGGATATAATTAATTTAAGAGCTCTTATAAGCCAACTAGCTTTTTTTCTGATCATCCTTTGTGAAGATTTTCTAAGAACTCTCCTAGAATCTTTGCAGTCTTATCACTCTGGGATCATTGCAAAACACTGTTTCAACCCTTCCAGCAAAAGGAGAGGCAGGGTGCACAGTCTGCAGGATTCACACACAGACTTCAAAAAACAGCTGTTACCAAAAATGGAAAAAAGACACTTTTCAGTGAACTGTGACACAGCAAGCAAGTAAAAGCATTTTACTTTTCCCCTCCTTCCATCACCTCTTAGCATTTCAGTTACTTGTTTTACAGACTCATTTAGCATTTCTATTAAATCCTAACGTTGGAAGAAGAAATTAAATCTCAAGCTCTGTTAGGCAGAAATCTTTTTGGTTAGCCTGTAAGATATCTCTCCTTCCCCTCACTGCAAGGCCGGAGAGGGTCTAAGAGCATCACTACTTACACAAATAGTTTTTTATCTCTGATGAACAGCTCAATTGCAGAGACACTGGAAAAACACTGGTTTGTGGTGACAAAAAACAAGGATCCAACCCTAGAAAGAAAAACAGCAGTGCAGAAGTGAAGAAACGGCCAACACCAAACCAGCAGGTCTCTGCATCTGCCCACAGAATGGAGATATTTAACTGTGCAACTGTAGATTTTATCTGCAAAGGTTTATTCCTTAGTCATTCCCTGCACATCTCCTTCATGCATATGTGCAAGCTCAATGGAACTGTGGTCCCTCCAGGACCCTTGGCAATTCCATTCTACAGAGCATTCAAGCTGGTGAACCCAACCCTCTGCTCTGTGGTTGAAGTAGAGCCCAAAGCCTTCTCTGTGGCCAAAACCTGTTTTCTGGAGACAAGGAAAGAAGCAAGGTGTGGGTTTCCAAACTTACCGATTCTGAATGCCACTTTCATCCAATTTTACTCCAAAAAAAATGGCTCCCACAACCAAGGCTAGAATTACAGTCACTGCAATCTAGAAGTGAAAAGAAGATGTGGGGGAAAAAAAAAAAAACACAAAGTCCTTTAGATGGATAAATAGGTACAAATCAACAGATAGTCATTAGGGTATGTACAGGGTTTAAGATTCACATCCATCTCAACTTGACCTCTATGACACAATCACTATTAGAAGCCTTACATCAAGTCTTCCCAGTTTATCCTTTTCCCTTTTTTCCTTCCTCTGATCTTCTTTGGCTAAGTAAAGGTTAGCAGAAGCACACTACGAACAACCCAGCTTGAAATGTCAAGTGAGCTGTGAGCTACAAAAGGATGGTCACTATGGAAGCTGCCCGTGTGAGCCAAATAATGGAGCATTTTCCCCACTCCCTAATATTCAGTGCAGTAGTCCTTCTGCTGAACTAGAATGGAAATTCTCTTTCAAAGACAATAACCTGAGTGATAGTGGCACACGACCTTCTTGTTCACCAGGCTGACTTCGAAAGCAGAAGACTGTTCTACAAACTGCAGACTGTGGGACTGAGAGCAGAGCAAGTCAGAAGCTTCTAGTAATTGTTACCAACCTGTGCAATTGAGGCTTGTGGGTTCCTAATGAGGTTTTTCAGGGAACGCTTGGACACCCAATACAGCTGTGTAAAGAATCCATTTGCATAGGTAATCTCATGCCCCTTTTTAGATACTTTCTTCTTTCTTTCCTGTTTAATCTCCACTTTCCCCAGTGCTTCCTTTGTGCTCTCATACAGGCTGGAGTTGAGATACTTCTGGTGTAGTGTATCTACCACACTGATGGATACATTCTCTTCTATTCCTCCATTTTCATTGCTCACTCCTAAGAAAGACAAAATATTATACCCCACGCTTACCTTCAGATATGATCCATCAACAGAGGTCCACTCCAAAGGATGGATGAAAATGTAATTGGGAATGGCTACAGAATTTTCATTGTTCAAGCCTAAACTCTGAGCTGAAGAGACCAGTTGGAATGAGAACTTTTCCCTGCAGTTTTAATCCAACCTCGCTCATCATCTGCCTGTTCTTTGTGGCACAGTTATGGCCACAGTCTTAAAAAAAGTCACTAAAAACCTTCACTAAGTTTTAGGGAAATCAATGATTTACTTTGACCCATTTTCCCCTTGAAAGGAACCATTACAAACATTTTATGCTCCTGTAAAATCCTTTAGTCACAGAAAACTGAAAGCACTCCCAGAAAATACTTCCCAGCATTTCAATCACTGTACTGCTAGAAGAGTTTATTCTCATATCTAGTTCTAGTATTTCTTGCTGCCACAACAATTCATTACTCCCATGCCTATCTGCCCTCTTCTCTACAGAAGTTCCTTACGTGACTGAAACATCTTCATTCAGCTGTCTCTTGTGAATATGCAATTCTAGTTTTTGTCTTTCCTACATGTTTTACAGACTTCTAATAGTTATCATTGTTATCCTGTATTATTGAGAGAAGAAAAAAATCCCTTTTAAAGTTGTTCTGAGATATTTAAAGAAGCCCAAAGCAAAGTAAATCTGTTAGCAAAAAAATAAAGACTGTAAAATGTTCTTAGATTGGAGCAAACACAGAGAATAAAACTTTGCAGTCACCATATGTAGCTTCCCTTCTACAAAAGCCAATGGTGAATTTCTCCTTGACAGTTTACCTTTCCCTGTGTCTGCAGGTTTGTGATCTTCCTTGCTTGCTGCCACAGCAGTTGAATCACCATTTATGATATCAAGGAAGAAGTCAGCTGGGTTGTTAAATGGTTCACATTCATATCCTTGGAAAAAAAAAAAAAAAAAAAAAAAAAAAAAAAGGAAGAATAAATTTTAAAAACCCACACCATACTTGTACTGTACAGCTCCTATGATTGCATCTAGACTAGACTGGAAATTCATTTCCACATTTCTTTTATTATTTTTTTACCCCTATTCTAATCTAATACTGTTCAGATCATTTATGTACAACCTCTAGTATCACACTGACAAAACAGCACAAGAGTTTGATCAAGCACTGGGATGAGAACCCACCCACAGTTCAAACTCAGTAGCTGGTTACATTTGCTCATAGAACAGAAGACTTACCAATAGAACTAAAATACTCCAGGGCCTGTTTTGCAGGACCGTGGTACAGCACTTTACCCAAAGCTAGTAATGTCAGACTGTCAAACAGCTTGAATATGGAATAGCGGGGCTGATGGATGGAAAATATGATTGTTCGGCCTCTTCTAGAGAGCCTGAAATAGGAACAAAAATTCTCTCAAATACATCACAGTTTGCATTTCAGAGTGATCATATTAGCTGAAGCAAAAAGTAAGTACCCAAATCCAAGTAAGGCCCACTAAAGTTCTAGTTCCCTCCTCTCCGTCACTGTGTCAGATAGCGCCTGCAAGACCTTCAAGCATCTTTTCAAGAGACTGTTGCTGCCATCCAGGTAGACAGAGTATGATGTGGCTAGCAAAGGTTAAGTCCATTGCTATATTTAAACTGTCCTTAATTTTTTTTCCTGTAGCAAGCTTCAACTTGACTAAAGAAGAAATCCTACTGCGCTCAATGGCATCGCCAAGTTCTACACAGCAAACTAGGAAAGTCTGGCCAGTTACAACTTCTCTTAACTTTTCTGCTAACGACTTACTCTCTACAAAAGTCAAAACTAGTTTTCTCTCAGGTCTGTCAGACTCACTTCCAAGTGCTTTAGCACTGATGCTCAAAAAGTATCCCTGCTGATTAAGATGAGAGTCTCTATCCACAAGCAGCAAAGTAAAACATTCCCTCAGGAAAATCAAACATGCCACAAACCCAGAAGAAGTGTTAGGAATTCATTCTCATTATGTGAGATTACAATTTCAAAGATTGACCTCACAATCCACCCCTCTCTGAGGCAAAAGGAAATTGTCCAAGCTATATCTGCTTTTTGGGCTTCAATCCAATGCTTGCTGTCAAAAGATTCCCATCAATTTCAAAAAGCTTTGGACAAGACCCAGTTAAGGAGTCTACAACCACTTACAAGACCAGTAGTCTAACTGCTTAAAAATAATTGTAACTACTCAGTCATAGCAGCATTAGTTTTTTAATATAATAAACACAGAAATTCCAGCAGAGCCCTGAAGAACTGACTCTTACTTCTTCAACAGGATGAGGACAGCATTGGCTGTGCTGGCATCAAGGCCTGTTGTTGGCTCATCCAGAAAAAGCACTGGTGGCTCTGTGATGAGCTCCATCCCGATGTTGGTTCTTTTCCGTTCCCCTCCAGACACTCCACGGATCAGCTCAGTTCCCACCTACAAGCAGAAGTTGGGCATTTGCAAAATTTCCTATGGTGTTCAGGACACCTGTGAAAAGCAGCCCTTCAACAGTTCCACCAGAGGGCCAAAGCAGATGATGGGGCTGACTTCAAAGAGCACTGTGAGGGACTGGGGAGCAATAAGCAGAGGTGCTTAGCAACTCTGACATTAGAAACAAGAATGATAGTGACAAGAATAATAACAAGACCAGAGCACAGGTAACTTTGGTATCCAGGGATGACTTTCATGGGTAGCTCACCTGCTGCCCAAGTGAAGCAAGTAAACTAAGAGTAGAAATGCAGCTAGGAGGAATAAGGTCTGCACAGAACTTCTCCATCACATCCCAGCTTCCCATCCCCCACAGCTGTCAGTACTGTAAAAACAATTCCCTTGTCTTGTCCCACAAAGCCAGGAAGTTATCAAGTAGATTTCCAAAGTGCTATGTTTAGGTAATTGTTTTCCCTCTGCTTATAAAACACATTGGACATGATCCCAAATCTTCCTCTTTTAACAACAAATACACATACCTCTGGACTCATCTCATGTGTGCAGTATGGTCTTGTCTGGTTCCTGCTTAGCTGAGTGCAGCTGCACTACAGACTCCATGCTGCACAGTCAAGCAGCTTAGTTTCCAGGAGTAGTATGATTTCTAAAATGAGTATTCTCACTGCTCACCTTAGCATCAGCCACTTTGCTTAATCCCAGCTCGCCAATTATCTGTGTGACTCGTTCTTCCTTCTCTTGAAAGCTGATGGAGCTGGGGAGCCGCAGGGCAGCAGAGAAGTGCAGGTTCTCCCTCACTGTCATTGTGCCCATAACAACATCATCCTGAAAGCAATATCAATAGGTAAGTGAAAGTCTTGCTCTCAGCTACCTGACTGGGCACCAGAGTTCCTGAAATGGTAGTTACTGAATAAGCTGTTTGTGGACCACTGGGAAAACTGAACTAAGTCATAACCCCTGCTTCAAAATGTACAAGACACAAAATTCAGGGTCAGTCTGTAGCAGTCAGATGGAAAACACAGCTCTACAGGCTCCCAGCTTGCACCCAGCACCACTTCAGCATGTTTTTGGGCTCAAGAGTTCGCAATGTAAAGTGCATAATTTTGCACTACAAGGCTTAGGAAGGCAGAGCAGGGAACTGTTTTCACTGCTAGTGCTCAGCGTTCAGGTTGGAGACATTCAAGGAATCACCCAAGTCTGCTCAGTTTCCACCTACAAGCTGTGACTTGCTGTGGTCACAAGCAACTGCTGGGCCCAGCTTTCAACAAGTTCCTCCCAGCTTCCTCCCTGGTCCTCAGAAAAATCAAAACTATTGCACCAAGATGCCCCACATTTTTTCCATGTTTCTAGTATCCATTCTTCCTGAGCACAGCGCCTTATTCCTCAGTCCAGCAAAGCTTCAGCAGTCGTGCATTTTGACTGTCTTTGATCTTTGAAACAGATCTACCCAGCTGACAAACACGTGCCTACACCAACCTGGAACAACCATCAACAGAACAGATGCTAGTTCCATCAAGAGCTCTACGCCTCTCCATTTCCTCTGCTTTGGTATTTGAATCAACTCTTCATTCCACCACATAGTGGTAGAAGGGATGCAGTACTGGACAGCAGCTGAGAAACATGCCTGTTAATCAGGTACCTTTCAAATCTGTGGAATTACATCCTCATTTGCAAGGCAGGAGTGGAGAGATCAACAGTTTTATAACACATGATTTACCAGATCTAAATCAGGTCTACATGCTCATCTGCATAAAATGGATGTATGCATTTATGCCTTCACATGTGTTTTGACACTCTAGGTCATCTTTATCAAGATGACCAATATCATCATTATTTAGGGAATAGCTCATAGGGGTGGGAGGGGAGAGCAACCATTTAATGTCTTGTCTAGTTGGCCATCATTTCATGGTTTGTTTTGTTTGCTTTTGACAACAGAGGGACAGATTTCTCAAACTGGAGCCATTTGCAAGAAACTTCCTGGCCATTGATGAAACACTGAGGATTCATCCTGTGGGATAAAGACTCAGCGTCAGTCTCATCATGCATCTGCTCAAAAGCCCCTCAGCTGGCAGCTTTCAGAAAAGATGCCTATTTCCTATCTGCCTGCAGTCAGAGTCTGAATGGTTTTCGCATTTCACAGTTCATACAGCTGCCAAGAATGCCACCCTCAGCTCCTCCAGGGCTCTGAGGGTCTATTATTGGTCCAGGCCCCCACCCATTTCCACAGATTCAGCTGGCTTTTCCTGTCCGAGTGGAACAAAGCTCTGCCTCAGCCAGCCAGAATCAGAGGAAGAACAGTAAAAATCTACTTACTTCCTAGAATTATTGTCTAAGAGCTTGAAGTTACTTCTGCCAACTAGAGCTGCTTTAGAATTTTATAAGAGATTTTAGGTGTTGAGAGCTTCCTAGCACGCAACCTTTTTTTAAACTTAATTTTTATTTTTAAAATCTTTGCTGGAACTTCAGGGCAGAACCCCAGAAAACAAGCACAGTGGCTTGGGCACCCACGTGGCTTTAGGATGACCAAGACCTTCATGCTTTATTTGGAGTAAGCAGTTTGACCCTCTGCCTTTCAAATCACGGGAAAACACTAACATCTGTTACCAAATTAAGTCTGTAGGGATCATTAAATATTATCTAAACTAATAGCTCATGCTTGACTCGTCTTATGTGAAAGAACCCCGCCTTTCTTCTTGAGAAGCTGCTCCTGTCCCACCACAGCCCTAGCTGCTCACCAGAGAAGACGCCATCTCTCACTCATGAAGCAGCGATGAGCTCCCACCAGTGAAATACCTCCTTCTTTTCATTGAAGACTTTTTTCAAAGCCTTTACACCAAAGCCTATGCTATGCTATTCCTCCCAAGAGCTCCCAGCCTCCACTGAAGGTAGTTACTCACCTGCACAACATATCCTGAGATACACTTGAAGTTTGGAGGTTGTGGGATGCCATCTATGAGCACTTCTCCAGACAGGCCTGCTGGGTCCTTTCTGGCAGCCAGCACATCTAGCAGACTTCAGACAAACACCAGGCATTAGGTTTTGCCTTGACAACTGCTTTATCTCAACTGAGCCAGTACCACAAGTCAGCACTGCAGTTAAGCTGCTGCATTCCAAACACAGGGCTCTCAAAGGGGCATCCTCTGCTCTGGGGCCTTCTGCAGGATTCTCGTGTGCCAGGTATGCCACAGCAATTCTGCAGTACTCAGACCCTCACAGCTGGAACCCCCTGCAGACATTAGCTTGGGCTCCGTATTAACAGCTAACCACGGACGCACACAAAAGCACCCTGCCAAGCAGCTGCAGTCTGCTCTCCAGCCAGTGGAGCACAGAAGAAACTACTCTGATCTCAAGGAAATTAATCCAAATGAGTATAAACAAGACTGGAGTAAAGATTAATTTTATAAAGTAGTTTTGTTTTAAAATATGTCTGGATTCTTCTTACTGTAAATTAGAGGCCAGACTGTCTGCTAGCTCAGTGAACATTGCCCTGATGGAGCCTAGTTCTTGGAAATATCCTGGCAGTTTCCTAGAGGGGAAGATCAATGATCATAACAAGGACACACCTACGTAAACCCTGGCCATATTTACGTGTCCCTGATCTTCTCTAAGGAAGAGTGACACAGCACTCTTTTACTATGGTTACACAAGAGAGAAAACAGCATCCGTACTGGCTGGAAATAGTCTGCAAAGTATTCTGTGATTTCATCCAAAGATTCTGAGCACATGCACTCCTACCACCAGGCCACATCCAGACTGGGTAATGGATGATCTACAGCAGGTATCCTACAGACTGACATTACACCTTACTTCTGCCAGTCATCAGAGCCTCTGAGGAAGTCTTGCTGCAGCAGCTTCACATGTGACAACTTCCCTCCCACCCCTGAGAGTGTTTGCTCCCACCCCCATGCCATGACAGGCCTGGAGCAGAGCCTACACCTGAGCTTAAGTCACTCCTGCTCCCCCGGTATCTTGACTCAGGCCACTATCAAAGGTGACTACAGTAACACAGACCACAGATCGTAAGGGTGTGGCACAAACACAGGACAAGAACTCCAGCAAAGCTGACATCAGAGGGACAGGATGTGAGGTCAAACTGCATTGACAGATTTCTTGCAATCTGAGGATCCCTGATATCCTCTCCCAACCCTAACAGTCCCACAACCCTTTGAACCGCTGATTGGACATCTGAAGAGCAAAAGGAAGTACTCACGAAGATTTGCCACTCCCTGTTGGCCCCAGGATAGCATTCAAGCCTGGCTTCATAATGCCACTGGAAGAAGGAAAGAGTTATTTCCAAATGGAAGACTGTTCACATGTGGCTCATAGCAGAGGTAAGGTGTGAACAAAATACTGCTGAAATGAAAACTTCAAGATTATTAAAAATCTTCTTAAATCTGGAATCAGAAAGCATTTTTTCGTTCTCATCCCAAACTGCCAGTAAGAACAGAATTAGAGCTGTGCATAAAAAGAAAAGGGTCTGGAAAAGAAGAAACAATGGCTCTCTGCTACTTGCACACCTCTCACCACAGCTCAGACCATAGTTAAGGAAATCCTTAGATCTTCAGGCAGAAGTGTTTATACAAGTTTGATCCTAATTTTCTTACATCAATGACTGACACTGCTCCACTTATATCCTAGCTTTTATGCCTAAAGCATGTTAGCAAGTGCCCACATGAACTGCAGACTGGCAGGAGGGCAGTCATTTCTCTACCAGTACAGCTGGATCTGGAAGATGACAATGACATCACCAATTCACAGCAGCAGATTAATTTCCACCCTTTGGCATTTTGGTTAAGCAAGAACTTACTAAACATTATGAAGGATCTTCTTTTCCACAGTCTTCCGTCTACATAGGAATCCACTGGACTGCTTAACGGAATACTGGATGTTATGGAAACTCACAACAGAGCCTCGAGGGGATCGGATGGAATCTCGTGTTGGAAGGGATCGTTGGAAACTGGCTTCTTCCTCTTCTCCAACAGAAATGACACTATGATCAAATGTGTCCGCCATCATGTCCTTGTTACACAGATCAATCTCAACTGCATGAGGGTTTCTGAGGTGGCTGTTGTTTTGAGCAGTTCCCATCTACTGAAACAAAGAACACAAAAGCACACACGGAAGAAGACAAGTGAGACAAGATCTGCAGAAGGTGTCCTGAAAAAGTTCGTGTATACCATTCCAATCTTTACATGTGTCAAGTTTCTGAAGGGATGGGCATCAGTGCTGGAAGACATTCAGCAGTCCCCAAAGGCATAGGAACATGTAGAACAATACAAGCAACCTCAAGGAACAAGGCATGGATGCTCTTGAAGAAGTGACATTAGCTCAAAGAACATCTAATGAGGAAAAAAAAGCCCATCTGTGATGATCACTGTATTGCTTAACACAGTGGGGACTCCAAATGCGTACTGCTATTCTTAACCTAAAGAGACTGAAGCTCCCTTCCATCATACAGAACATGCTTACTCACCTTCATACACCATACAGTGAAGAAAAGCAAAGCACAAATATATACTGCAGTATACAGTATTTACAACCACAGGGAAATGTACAAACCATCCTGACTCAAGCAGATAAGCTGCTTCTGTAGCTTTGGATGGAGCACACAGAAGGGAGGACATGCAAACAGCAAAGGGAAGGAGCTGCTCTTCCTACCTCTGCATCAGCCCCTGTATAATAAGTACCATATCAAAAATCAGTATAACCATTAACAGACACTTAGCAGTGACTCTGTTAGTAGTGTCCTAGCAACAGAGCTCTTTTGTCAAGGGGCTGCTTCTCCTTCTGTTGGTGTAACTGGCTGAGACCAATCACATAACCACACAGAACTGCAGGAGTTGGAAGGGACCTCAAGAGATGGAGTCCAGCCCCTCTGCTAAAGCAGCTCACACAGGTAGGCGTTCAGACAGGTCTTGAATATCTCCATATTAGGAGACTCCACAACTCTCTGGGCAACCTGGTTCCACTGCTCCATCACCCTTACTGTTAAGAAGTTCTTCTGCATGTTAGTGCAGAACTTTCCTTGTTCAAGTTTTAGGCCGTTACTCTTCGTCCTATCACTACATCACCAAGAAGAGCCTGGCCTCATTCATTTGGCTCCCATCTCCTTTCAGATATTTATTAACATTAATCAGATCCCCCATCAGTCTTCTTTTTCCCAGGCTGAACAGATCCAGGATACTCAGCCTCTCCCCTTATATAGGAGATGCTTGAGGTCCTTTATTATCTTTGCGGCCCTCCGCTGGACTTCTTCTAGGAGATCCCTGTCTTTCTGAAATGGGGAGCCCAGAACTGGACACAGTATTCTGTATGTGGCCTCACTACAGCAGAGTCAAAGGGGAGAATCACCTCCAGATACCACTGGCCTTCTTTGCCACAGGGGCACATTGCTGGCTCATGGCCAACCTGTTGTCCATCATCCTTCTCTGCAGAGATGAGTATGAGCCCATCGCTTGTTTACAAAAGCTTAAAGCTGTTACACAAGAAGAACTTGGAAACCCTGCAGCCCCTAAGTTCTGTAGTTCACACCCTGCCTTTCAGCCAGCTGTCTTCGCAGTTGAAAACCTTGCTGTCCCCTTTCCAGGCAGCTGCAGCAAAGAAAAGGCAACACTACATACCCTTTCCAGAAACTGAGCGCAACAGTTTACACCACCACAGGGCAGTCTAATCACTTACTTCTCTTTTAGCTGCGAGCACAAAGGTGTTTCTTGGAAAACTTACGCTAGTGATTTTGCGGAAAGCCGAGGCTGACACCAAGCTAATGAAGAGCAAGGAGAAAAAAAAGAACTAACATTTCACAAAAACTCCCATTGCTGATTAGCTGGGCTTTGTGAGAAGGCAGATGTATCCCACAAGCAATACTTTCCCTTCTATCTGCACCCAAAGATGATCTTTTTTCTCTTGTTTGCACTTTTTTCCTCCAAGGAATGAGAGCATGATAATCAGTAGGACCAAGCACTGCACAAGTGGAGCATTTCTCAGAAAGTGAGATGGTCATCCTTGTAAGAAACCAGAGTTCCAACATCCAGATGAAAAAAACAAAACAAACAAACAAAAAAACCCTACACACAAAAAAAAGCAACCAACAAAACAAACAAACAAAAAAGCCCAGAAAGACAGACAAGCAGACAGAAGGACCCCAAAATGCCTTTCCTGTCATTTTAAGCCATTTGGACATGGTCCCGAGTATCGTGTGGCCCTGCCTGAGCAAGGGAGGCTAGACCAAACCGCCTCCGGCCATCCTCAATTCTGTGTAAGCTCAAGAAGTGGCAGAGGTTTTTGTTCCTGTTTAAGTAAATGAAAAGCAGCGGGGAGGCAGAGGGGGGAAGGAATAGATGGAAGAGTTGTTTAACTTGGATGCAATCCCATACTTGGAGGCTAGTCATTCCTGGGAAAGCCATGTTTGTGGGAAGTATGAAGGAGCTGCTGGTTACATCAGCACAAGGCAGCTTATGTATGAGAAAGGTTGCACAACACATTGGGAAAAAGACATAGGACAGACCATGACATCAAGGGCAAAGACCCTGTTAGACCTTTGAACATCTGACCATCTTGTAAACCTCACATCTGCTCCAGTGAGCCCAGCTTTCTGCTTACAATGCCGTAGACCCTTTTATACGTATTTTTGTAAAGTTACTGATAAACACTGACAAGATAAACCCCCGAGCGGCTACAGGCAAGGATAAAAGAAGGCTGAAAGAAGGGAGGAAAAAGACCAGCAGAGGCTACAGGTGGGCTCAGGCAGCCACACTTCGACCGCGGCAACCCCATCCCCAGCACCACCCCGCGATTCGGTGCCGGTGCCGCCCCACTCAGAGCCCCGCTCAGCACAGAGCCCCAGCGGGACAGCCCACGCCGTTACCTCCGGAACCCACGGCGCTCCGTGCGGCGGACACGAGGCTATGGCTGCGGTGCTGCCTCGGCTGCGTTTTATAAGCGGGTGCGGACGGCGCGGTTACATAAAGCGGCGACGGCGGAGGCTGCCCGGCGCTGTCGCGCAATCCCGCCGATACGCGGGAGCCCGGAGCTCAGCTCGGCACGGCCCGATCTGCCGCGGCTGCGCGACCCCCGGGGCGGTGCCGTTGGGCTGGGCCGCCCCCGCTACGGGGGCCGGGAGCGGGGGGAGCCCCAGAGCGCGGGGATGCTACGGGCTGTGCCGGGTAGTACTGCGCCTTCGTCGGGGGAGGAGGAGATGGAGGAGTGGGAGTGGGGTAAGCGCTTCGCTTTCTGCCGCAGCCACCAAACGGCCGTCGGGGCTGGGGCATCTCCCCGCGACCTCCCCTGGCGGTGCCGCCCTCCGAGAGTGCCACCCGGCCGGTCTCACCTCTTCGAAGCTGTGCGCTCCCCGGCGGTCCCGCAGCCCGCCCCGGGTCGCCGCTGTCCGCCTCTCGTGTTCGCGCTCCGTGTGAAAGCGAGGCGGTCGGATTTCCGCTGGTTTGCTGTCTCTGTTTCTCCGCAGCCGCCTGTTCCCAAGCACTATTGTCTCATCACGAACGAGCTCGCCCTCCCCAGCCTCTGTGTTAGAGTGAGTGCAGGAAAGGCCCTGCCTTATGGTTTGTAAAGATAACTTATATCAGCGCTGTCAAGTCACTTACTGTATTAATTACCTCTGACCTGACTGCACTCTGCAGCGCTTCTGCAATGTTGCATTTTCCTAACAACTGCTCTTGCTAGATGAGTCCAAAGCTCAGATGAGCAGAAGCATGTCTATGGCTACCCAATAAATACCAGCAATAAAAATTTCAAAGGTTCACCTATCCCCGCCCTGATGCCTGCCTGCCCCCAGACATGCCAATGCAGTGGGCAGAACAGATACCTGTACCTTGTGCAGCTGCTGGCAGGAGTCAAGAGCCAGGAAGGTTTGTGAGGATACTGAAACAGGTGTAGCAAAGGGTACTGAAAGAGGTGTGACAAGAGCCATGGGTACGGTCACAGTGCAGGCATGCTGAATAAGGATGTTATTTTCAGTTGCTCTGTGGGGCAGAAGTGGACTTGAGTTTGTTTTCTTTGCATTTTAAGTTCCCCCTTCAAGGAAAATCTGCCTACGTGGAAAACTTTTGCCCTATTACTTCACCAGACATGCACATTTCTCTGTGTCCAAGTGTATTTCAATCCTAAACACCATGGAGCCTACACTGTGCTGCAGTGGCAACCCTTCATCATGTGCCTGGCACAGTGAAAAAAAAAGACAGTGTGCTTGGAAGCAGAGGTGAGTTGCTGTGATCAGGAACTTCTCCACGTGGTGCCTACACACATCCTGACAGAATAGAAATGGAGACCCAAGGAATGGAAAGGAACCAGATCTGACAACTTAAGCATCCTGATGGAGGCCCTGGCTTTCCCCCATCCCGTTTCTGAAGCAACAATCTTTCGGACTTCCTCTGGGCTTCTGGGCTTTTGATCTTTAGAATTCATCACCTTCCCAGCTGGTAAGTCTGGGAAGAAGGGCAAGTGCTCTTCCTTGCTCTGGGCACATGATGTGCCACCACTGCCCTCTTACTTCTGACCGCAGCAGGAAAATTGCAAATGAAGCTAGCAGCAGCAAAGAAATAGGAAGGAAGTATTTTCCAACTGTATCATTTTACTGACATAATTGATTTAAATCATGCTGTTGCTGAGGCAGATTTCTGCCCATACAGGAACAAAAACCAGTGGCCAGGGCTGTGGCATGAGACACAGCAAGCCTAAGGAGAGCCCCATGTCAAACACTGCATTTTTCTGTCATACCGGTACCAGGGCCTCAACATCCTCTGAATAAAGAATTTCTTCCTAACATCTAATCTAAATCTCCCCTCTTCTAGTTAAAAGCCATTCCCCTTGTCCTATCACTATTTAAACCATGTAAAACGTCGATCCACCTCCTGCTTGTAAGCTCCCCTCAGGTACTGGAAGGCCACAATGAGGTCTCTCCAGATCCTTCTTCAAGTTAAACAAGCCCAACTCCATCAATTTTTCTTCATATGGGAGGTGCTCCAGCCCTCTGATCATCTTTGTGACCCTCCTCTGGGCTCACTCCAACAGCTCCGAATCATTCTCAGTTAAGGCTAATTTGAACACTGCTCCTTTCTTACAGAATCTGGTCATGCCAGACATCTTGCATGTCCCACAGCACACAGCATGGAGAAGTTACTAAGTACCATGAGTTCCTCTATCTTCTGAAGGTTCTGGCCTCTTCTCTCCTTTTCGCAACCTGAGTAACAGGATTGCAAAAACATCAATTTGCAGGGGGTGCTGGGTGTTCCCTGGAGTCCAGCTTTCCGTTTGGGCCAGGTCTTGCCACCACACAGTCAACACAGACGTGGCTCTGTCTAGCTGAATCACCAGTCAGAATTTTTTCAGCTGTGTTTCTCTATTACTTTCCTTAGGATGCTGTTTTCCTTGCCCGAGGATCCAGGTTGTTTTAATCCTGCCTAATGTCAAATTTCATAAAGCTTTTAAAACATTTCAGGGACTTGAGCCAGTGAGAGTGAATGAGAAACACGTGCAGGAGGAACTGCATGCTCATTATTATTTTGTTCTCTACTGAATGAAGCAAGATGCAGATCCTGAAGCTCACAGTGCAAAAGCAGCTTTGAGAACAATAGAGACAGCAACATTAGTCATTGTGCATGTGAGTGAGGAGCTCTTCCTAGCTCTTCTTTTCCAAAAGGAGATACCAATAAGCCATTTTAAAAAACACACTCTGTACAGATGCATACAGCTGTGCTGAATTGACTGCATCTTCAAATCCGTCACCTTAGGCACAGAAAGACTTTCCAGCTTGTTTTTCTACCCTGAGAGCAAATTGTGTCAAAGCTGGTGCTGACTGGCATCCCCTAATTAGTTAAAGTGCTGCTCACCTTGGGGAAGTTGGCATTTGAAAGGCGTGAAGATTGCATAGAAGAAATCTGACTTTGTCAAGTTTTGTTAATCATTTAGTCCATTATCTGAATGCATAGTAGCACTAAATCCATGGCTGGTTAAAGATAAGAGAAGATTCAAGCAAATCTAGGAGGAAAGGAAATTAATACTTAACTAGTGTGCTGCATTCATGTATGATGGCTGACAGAAAGATTGGCTAAACAATAGGATTACTAGAACTGTGTGTGTTATCTGTGTAAAGCAGATAGAGATAAAATATCTGAAGTCTGCAAGATCTAGGGGATCTAAATAACCATTCCACTCCTTCAGAAGTTAAAAAGTTAACATCATAGGCTTGCTCAGATATTTACAGCTCCAACTCACTGCTGTTAGCAAGGCTACAGAGAACAAAGGGCAAGCATAAGATGTACAGTGCAAATGTAGAGAGGCACTTTTTTCCCTTCCACTCTAGAAAAATGATGAGAGGGACATAAGACAGGTAGAGAGAGCAAAAATGGTAAAGCCTCATGAGAAGGGTAGAAATAGCAACCTAGACCAGGGATACCTCTTAGATAAGCTGTATAGCAGTATTAGGTTGGTAAGCTTTAGGAGTCTGCTGAGAATGGAAGCCCCGTGTCTTCTCTAAGGATACAAATATGGAGAGATGCCAGTTATGACTGCCCCATGCTCTTACACTTTTAGGACAAGGCTAGGGACTGCCACCTGCAACCAGGAGGGAAAGTGGCACTAAGCAGAGATGCACACTTCTCCCAAATTCAGCATAAGTCCTGGGGCAGGACTCCCTCAAGTTCAGTTCCCATTGCCACCTGCAGGTCAGGCATGGCCTCTCAGCAGTTCTGCTTCCCATTTGAGTGCTTCAGAGCCCACAGGAGGTTAACAGAATTACAGTGTGTTTTATCTGTCCAACTTCAGATTTCCAGAGGTCAGATTTGTCCCTAGGCATTAATGTTGACACAACATTACATAGACATTTCAACTCCATCCTCAGGAGCAAAGTGCAGGCTGCCCCACTACCCATTCCAAAGAAACTGCTTAATATTTAAAAATACACAGGATCTGAGACACTAGCATTTGCTGTGGCTGCAATGAACAGATTTATTGGTGCTGTACGCCTATAAGCACAGTGTCCCCAGAGGAACTTACAAAACAGCAGGATATGATAACAACGTGACAGTAAACAGCCTGCATGCTGAAGCAGGAGAGAGAAGAAATTAGCTCTGGCAGTTTCTGCCTTCTTTTGCATTTTCCTACATGTCCAAGCATGCTGTATGACACAGAGCTACTGCATCACATCCTTCCAACACAGGACGTCGCACCATATTAGATGGCAGAAAAGGCAGAGAGCAAAAACTCAAAAGAGTACAGCTGGTCTGACTGTCATGTCCTACTACATCCCATATTAATGTCAATACTTACTTCGTTCAGTAGAGACACTGCCTGGTATTTGTCTATGCCAGAACATCTCATGGTGTTTTTGATAGTGCCATTCTCATCTCCAGACCTGATTTTCTCTCCTACTTGGGAAATTGCTATGTAAGGGTGTTGACTCATGAATGAAAAAGGGACAGAGGGAGCCCAGAGCTACCACTGACAGCTGTGTGCCCTAAGGCAGGAGATGGCAATTTGAGAGAGGCAGGGGAAGTAAATAATAGTAATAGGAAATCTAAGATTGGTCTGAATAGAGAGTAAATGAGAGTTTCAGTGTGGAACACAAGGAGTCATAGGTGTCTATGGCGCTGAATTTAACAACTCATCAAGGACGTCCATACACATAAGGTCTTATCCAGGCATTCACACTGGGAGATAACTAACGATCCGTAAATTTTAGTGACTCACATAGAATCATGGAATAGAGTTGGAAGGGACCCATATGGATCATTGAGTCCTACTCCTGGCTCCACAGTGGACCACACAAAAATCAGAGCACATGACTGAGAGCAGTGTCCAGATGCTGCTTGAACTTCAGCAAGCTCAGTAACCCAGGACCTGTTCCAGTGCCCAAGCATTCCCTCAGTGAAGAACTTTTTCCTAACACCCACCTGGCCCTCCCCTGACCCAGCTCCATGCTGTTCCCTCAGGCCCTGTTGCTGTCAACAACAACATGGTCCCTTCTGCCTCCTTCATGGGGAGCTGCAGCCACCATGAAGGCTCCCCCCAGCCTCCTCTTCTCTGAGCTGAACAGACCAAGGGACTTCAGCCAATCCCCACCTACTTTGCCCTCCAGAATCTTCTCCATCTTCATTTGGGCTCTCTGATAGTTTTATGTCATTCTCGTGTTGTGGCATCCTGACCTGTAACCAATGCTGGAGGTGAGACCACTCAGCACAGAGCAGGGCAGAATAACTCCTTTCCTCGCCTTCTGGCATGCTGGGCCTGGTGCACCCCAGGGCCTGGGTGGCCCTTCTGACTGCCAGGGCACACTGCTGGTTCATGTTCAACTTGCTGTCGATCAGAACCTCCACATCCCTTTCCGTGGGGCTGCTCTTCAGTGTCTCATCCTCCATGTATGTATAGCCAGGGTTGCCCCTTTCCAGGTGCAGAACCCAGCATGTGCTCTTGTTAAACTTCATGCAGTTGGTGACTGCCCAACTCTCTAATTTTTTAGGTGTCTCTGCAAGGCTTCTTCAGTCTTGGCAAAGTCAGCAGCTCCTCCCAGCTTAGTATAGTCAGCAAACATTAGGAGGAATGGGATGAGAAACTGAATACTGTCATCTCTCAAAAGGTTATGAAAAAACACATGCGAAAACAACCCTTTGGTCACTTATCTGTGAAGTCAGGCAACATGATGATTCAACTTGTCATCAGTAAGGAGCCCTGGCCACACCACTTGAGTACAGGTCTTGGTGCCCAAATGCTAATCAGTCTGGACAAACATAACAAGGCTGGCAAATCAGAGCTGGAAATGCCTTTAACAAAGCATGTGCAGCAGATAGAGGAGGTGGTTAAGGCTGCTTTTTCAGTGTTGTGCTATGTACTTCCTCTCCACCTTTAATGCTCGTGGGAAGTCTAGAGGTAGGTTGGAAGCCATAAGCACTGTTTACCTCTTCTAAAGGCAAACCCCCCCGTCACACACGTCAATGTGATGTAGTGAGCAGTTGAGACCCTGGTGCTCTGCGATTTCAGCTGGTTGCTGCCTTTGACTCCATTCTGCTATGAGGGAGAACACAGGCTGGTGGAATGGCCTTTTCTGGGCCTGTATGGGACAACTCCTTTTGTGGCTTTTTGATAAAACCTTTGTATTCCTGCAAGGATTCAGAAAGAATGCCAACTCCCATTTAAGTAATCATTGTCTATTCCATAGGAATCTAAGGAAAAGCTCTGCCCTTTTGTCTCCAAAAACCTTTGTGCACAATTCCAGATATTGCTTTGTTTGAGGAACTCTAGACATGTCTGAACAGCTGAATTGGCTTGACGCATTAGAGCAATATGTGTTCACACACGTGTAGTTTCTTTGTCTCTGAAAGACATGCTGCTATTTCTGGTGCCTGTTCACAACAGGGGAGCCTGAAAATAACGACAGCCAGCAGAAATGATCATTTGGGATAGTTTCTCAGCATGTTTCCTCAGGGCTGAATTTAACAGCTCATCCAGACACAGTCCAGTTGACCTCAGGCTCCTTAGCCTTGCTGGTTGCTCTGCTAAGCTGTTTCTCAGGCTGCTGGGTCTCTTTGACATGCAGAAGTGAGCATGCCAGCTGAGTAGGACTGCTGTCCTTGGGGAATGACAGTCAAGATGCAGTGCCAGGCAGAGCTTCTAGGGGATGCCCTGCACTGTGATGCCCTGCACTGTAGGGCCCTGTCATGATGCCAGGCACTCAGGCTCTCCTGGTGACTTGCTGCAGCATGTCCTCATGAAGCTGGGCTCTGAAGCATGAGCTGAGGTCAGAGGCTTGTCACCAGACACCACATTGTGTTATCAATGTGACATTGGCATTGCTTCTTGCAAAGCAGGGTGCGGCCTGAACTCACCACCCTCCAGCTGCCTGCTGCTGCACTCTGCGTACATACTGGTAGCTGGTGGCTGCACCTGCCATTTCCTGGTCAGTTCCTCAGGCAATGCGTCCTGCAAAAGTCCTCTGAAAAATCTGCCACGTTTCTTTTAACACACCCCTTTGTGTCCAAACCTGGGGAGATTGGGCCTTTGAATACACTGGAATTCCTCCTCTGTGGAACATTCTCCCAGTACAGGGCTTCTTGCTTTTGCACGTGCAGGAGTTTATCTAGGTATGTTATCAGCTGGCTTATCACACAGTGACAGTCTCTCACTTCCCTTTTCCCTAGTTTCTAATAAACTGTATTGGTTTATCAACTCCCACTACCAACTGCTTGCAGAAGAGGCAGAAGGTCAAGAAATCAGCACTGAGGCTGACACTAGCTCTTATTGAGAATCTTTTCATTTGTAAAAAACTTATTTTGTAAAAAATCCTTGTTACAAAAAGGAGCAAAGCCTGTGCTAATCCTATATAAAAGTTGTAGAGAGGATAAACAAGAATAACCAGCCTGAGAAGGGCAGAGTTTGTGACAAATATGTGTGTGAGAATATCTAGCATTATGAAATGTTGGAAACTTTATGTTTTGCTTCTTTTTGTCATAGAAGAAGTATTTTTTCTGAGTTTGTCCTCTCTAAAATAAACAGGTGCTTGCTACCCACCTCCTGTGAGAGCAGCGAAGGACAATTCTCAGGTGTGAGGGGCTAGTAGTGGTGCTAGCTGACATCTGCTGGAACACTGAACATCTGTCATAAAGTGTCTCCCAGAGTTTGGCTGCATTTGTCAGGTTTGGGGGATTTCAATGTGCCCATCAGACCTGTTCACTGGTGAGACAAATGCATCTTGAGGGATACACTGAGAAGATATTTCAGGAGATTTTCATGCTCACAACCCATGCTGGATGGGGCTGCCTCTTGCAGGTGACCCACGCCCAGTTTCAGACATCTGTGCCCTGGCCCTCCCAGTCCAAAGCTGAGTCTCCCCACACAAGTGCTTTGGTAGTACAGCTGTGACACTGCTTTCTCTCCCAGCTGCCTCAGTGAGCTCTTTAACCACCCCAGCACACAGCAATTTTCTTTAAGGCAGGGGCTTCCTGTCAGACTTCAGCCAGTGTCCAAATTGGAACAAAATACAGCTCTGCTACCACTGTCGAGGAAAAAGCACTTTACTTCCCTCATGAGATACGAATTATCTAAATAACACCAGTTGCTGCCAGGAGGCCTTACAACACCCATCTGAAAATAGCACTTGCATAAACTTACCGTTCAGTATATTTATGCTGTTTCTCAACCAGCTTGAACACACAATTGAGCATTATACACAAGCAATTGTTGGAGACAAGTAACTGCCTTGCTAACTCTAGGCCACATTGTTTACATGACAGCACGTCATGGCACAGACAAGACGGTTGCATGCAGAGGTACAAGCAAGAGAGAAGACAATGCAGGCACAGGCATCACTGGTGACAGAAGTTGTTTCACACTTAGTGATACTGACACAACTGAAATCACAGCATGTAGCATAGGGGGTGGTCTTTCTGAGAAAACACCAGGTGAGAGGGGAAGGAGCTCTAGCTGAAACCCAGGAGACCACTGCAGCCTGTGTTTCTTATCTGATCCCAGCTAGAGCTGGGCAAAAGCTCTACTCAGAGTGTGGAGACTCTATGCTTACTCTTTACAGGGGAAAGAAGGCTTCCCAGAGTTATGTGTGAACAAACTCAGCCATGCAATGTGACCATTCTGCTCTTCCAGTAGCCTACTGCCCCAAATAGCAGCCTGTGTTACCTGTGACCTGCCTGTGATTATCATTGTGTGGTTCTGAGCCCAGCTGCTGCACCACTGTCCTTTTGCCTCTCCTGCCTTCCCTGACGCAGGGTGTCTCTGTGCAGGAAGGATGGCTAGACAGAGGCTAGCTCCTGGTGTGCAGCGACAGCAGGACCACGTGCTGCTCTGTAATGCCTGAAGCATCCCTGCCACAGCAGGGAAGGTACAAGATGGGAACTGGAACAGTGCCAACAACGAGGGCTTGTGCCACCTTTTCCACTGGACAGAATGAAGCAGTGCTCTCTCCTTTGTGAGATCTAAGGCTTTGTAAAGCAAGGCCTCACCTTCCTGCTCTGGGCAGCACCTTGTTTCAGGATCCTGTTTACCCCACAGCAGTTGTGAGGAGCTGAGCCTCAGCCAGCAACACATTTTCCACCATCTCTCCCCTCCACAGATTTCAAAAGAGAAGCTTGTAATTTTGTTTTTGCAGCTAAGCCTCAGTAACAATGGTCTGCTATTGAGCCAGGATCTCAAACAGGGTCTTTCCAAATGATTTAACAGAAGAACTTATGTACTTCTTGACATGCAGAACATTAAACATTTTTACCTACAGTCCATAACATGCTTCAGTTCTACACTGGTAATGGGCTGTATGTGCAATTCAAGTCTGCTAGCAGATAGTTTCTTTTCTGGATTATAATTTAGCATATGGATTTCCTGTTTATGAAAATTTTAATTTAAGTTCTCAGGTCCCTGACATAAGCTATTTTCTCCTGCATAAGATAATGTTTTCAATGCTGTGAGTAGAGGGGAAATAAGCAACATCATTGTTCTGAGTTCAGCTGGAAAAGCTGAAGGCAAAGAGCTTATTCTCAATCCTGAATTAAGTAAAACTTCGAGTCAAGAACCATGGCAGTATCTCACAGAGAAGTCTTGTCCCCAGTAGCAGAAGCAGCTGATGGGAAACCACAATGCAAGAACCTGCAGATCCTAGCTGAAGTCTAAGCTCCCTGTGGGTTGTGTGACAGGGTCTCACAGCTCCTGCTGGGATCTTGCAATGGAATGACCCTCTTCTTCAGTTTGTCAACACTACCACTGTCTCTGTGTAGCTGTGACAGCTCTAGAGCCTGGCCAGAGCAGGGCTGATCCAGTGTTAGAAACTCTGAAGTCTGTTCCCTGACATTCAGACCTCAGAATATCAGTAACAGCTGCTTCAATTTCAGATCTCCTCCTAGTACACCGGGAGTAAACTCTCATTAATTATCTTGACTGAGGTGTTTATGTCCTATTTTTTCCAACATCTGAATCTTTAGTAACCAAAGAGGGTTACCAAAATGTTCTGGATGCAAATTACAACAGAACAAAGTTAGTGGTAACCATGTAGACACAACTACTTTCTCCTTTCTGTCTCACACTAATGATTATATTCTGTTTTGTTAATCTGATTACCTCAACTTTTCCCCACAATTGACAATGCAGGCATGTGGGGATGTGCATGTTTGTGGGGAACAACTTGCAATTTCCCATTCTGGATCCAAGTACTTCCAGAGCTCTGATGCCTTTATATCTTGGGAAAATATAGGTAAAAGCACTTTAAGTTGTCCTGTTCAGAGACAGAAACCTAATGCAATACCTGGTTCCATATTTCTAACTAGTCCAGAGGCACAGGGGCCAGAAGTTCTAGGTCTGTGATATCACACATCACTACGCTGGAAAAGAGCAGCCCCAGTTTTTCACATCACCAGTCTCTGGCAACAGTGGTGCCTGCGTTCAGCTGTTCTGACTATTCTAACAGTGGGAAAAACAACTGACAGTGATACAGTACTGTAGGAGCCAGACTGGGAACACTGGGCTGTTTGCTAGAAGCACTCAGACTGTGACTGGATGTTCTTGGGGGCCTGAGACCCTGGTACACTTGACCTGAACAAGACTGGACAGATCCCATTCTGAGAAGATATGCAACTTGGGTTATTTCCCTGTACATATTCCACTCCCCAGTCTTCTGCTGCTTCTTTCCTCAGCTGGTCTGGGCTCTGGGAGAGCAGTTCTTCCTGACTGGGTTCTTCCTCCTGTTAACCAGAATAAAGAGTGACCTGCATTGTTAGAAACACAACAGGAAGTCAAGCAACACTTTAGCGGAGAGACAAGGTGCCCATGATGCTTAAATAATATTTTCCACATTCTTCTAGAAACGAGTACAAGGCCATCAACCTTTTGAAGGTCCAATACACTGTTGTAATGCTTTGATGAATATTGATTCAAGCAATGAACAGATGAAAAGAGCACCATCCCTTTCTGCCCTTTATAAGAATGTTGACAGGAATCCTGTGCCACTGCTCTTGAACAGAAATGATTAGACCATGCAAAATGACAACCCTGCCAACTTTATCTTGCATCAATGGGGATTTGAAAAGAAAAGGTGCTAATACATCCACTCATGCAGCAGGGTTAATCACCAACCCTGAAGCTAGTTCAAATGTATAGTGGAGGGCTACCAACCTCCCTACTGTTATCCAGTGGCTTGCCCATCAAATCCTTCGTTTTCAGCTTGTTTCTCTCCAGCACTTCTAGCTTGCTTACCACTGCATCAATCTTGGAGCCAATGCTGTGTATGGACTGTTCCAGATGCAGCACACGTTGCAGGAGTCTGGGGAAGACAGGGCATTTGCAACATTTTTCTTGTTGTGACCACTAGGATTTGCAAGAGTTATCTCAAGGACAACAGGCTAGATCTCAAACAGGAATGAACGCTCCACATCAGAGATGTTGATTCATAGTCAATGAACACAGAATTCCCTCCATAGTCGAGTCACAATGTAATCCCAATATTAATATTGCATCTGTCTCTCTTTTAATATAGCCCTATGTGAATTGCTCAGTGTTATTCAGTAGAAGAATCAGGATCTCCTGATTCTCTGAGGTATTTATCCCATACTATTCCTAAGGAAGAAACAGCCATGTGTTATTCTCAAACCTGGAGGATGACGGACAGTTAGGCTATAAACCAAGGGTATTTATTGCCCAGAGCCTTCTGTAAAGGTATCAACTTTTGCTAGCCATGTTTTCCAGGCTAACTCCCAATACAGAACATGACAGCGTACTGTCTGTGGCCATCCAACAACAGCAGAGGTTATTCAAGAGGCAGAAAACAATATTTCTCAGTCTGATTTTTTACAGCAATGGGCAAAACACATGACAAGAAATGACCTGATTCTTTTCTGACCTGCTCATTCATGTGTGTGAAAGAGAAAAAAGGACCAGATCCTATTGCAACTGCTCAACACCAGTGCAAACAGCTACATCAGGGAGAAAAACAGCGGGGATCAGACCCTTGTTTATAGAAAGATTAAACTACGGCCAGCCCCAACATACACTTGGAACTCTTCTTCGGAGACCCAGCTGGCCTTATTGGCATGGTTATTCTTTGCTTCCACATAGGACAGATTCTCATCCAAGTTGTTGCCCCCATAGGATTTCCCTAAATTTTCAATCTCTGTATTCAGAGCAACCTGGAAGACAGATAAAGAAATTGTTGAGAAGTTGGATATTAACTCTGTATCAGATTCACTGTTAACCTAACACACAGATTCACAAGTAGGTCATGTACTCAGCTGCTGTTCAGACAGAGTTGGAGTTGTACTCTGCCTGCTTATTTTATGTCACAAATCCAAAGATTCCTGAGGCCATCCTGGAGTGATCTCTACTGATTAGCAGAGCTTCATTCCTCACCTGTTTTTGGTTTGGTTTTTTTTGTTTGTTTGTTTGGTTTTTTTTACCCTTTTTGCCTCTAGGTCATGCTTCATCTGCTGCTGCTCCTCTTCATCAAGGATGTGGTTGCCATCTTTGTCAAACCTGGAGAAGGCTGCTGTGATCTCATGGTCCGCATGGCCCAGTCTGTGGAAGAACAAAAAGGTAAGGCTCAAGGCACCAGATTACACGAGCCCTAACAGCACAGGAGCACCCCTTTTGAAATGAGTGTACTGCTGCCTCCTGCCAATGAGGAGCTTAAATATTCCACTTTTGAGGGAGACAGCAACACAGCTCTATTTAGATCATGAGATTAAACATGTGAGAAACTGTGATTACTCTTTTTTATTCATCTTTTATTGCCATAATCTGACTTAATTGCTCTCCAGGCCTTGAACATTACAGAGTTTAAATTACAAGTGTGACTGAGAGAAAGAGATAAAAAAACATCCCACAAGCTGATTCACTCACTCCTTCAAGCTGTTCTTGAAGTCCTCAAAGCCCAGTTCTTTTGTTCCATTCTGCAATGCTTTCTGCACATCAGAAATCCGTTCCTTTTTCAGCTTCAACCTCATAAGTGTCCGGTTGTAGCTCTGTTAACAAAGGTGAAAATGAATTCAGAACAGTGAAAAAATAAGAAAGGGTGTACAATGCAATATGGGTGAGCAGATGCTGATTAGTACAAGATTCTCAGTTTTAAAGCAGCACAGATACAATGCTACAGACTATGTCTCATTTATAAACCAGAGTCACCACTTTAAAGCAGCATCAACACACTACCTCCATGAAAAAACTTGCCATCTGCTTTTGCCCTCCCAAGCCTCACTTTAACCAAGCTCCCAGTCATAAACTGCTTCAGACATTCTCTCAAATATCATTCTTTGCAGAATACTGGTCCTACAGCATAGACAGCAGAGAACTTTTAGGACCATTCCTGGAATTTGTCCATGGGAAATCCAGATGTAACCCACCAGATTCACACTACTGTAAAATGCTAAGATCAGCAAAATAGAACCTGTCATTTCATTTGCTATTGATCAAAGAGCACTGTATAAAGGACTGATGGAGCTTTGTGTGTGTGTGTGTGTGTGTGTGTGTGTGTGTACATATATATATAGTCTAGGGAAGAAAAGTTGTTGAGAAACTTTTCTGGCATACTTAAGCAATAGGATTCCCTCAACTCTTGCTTTCTCATCCTCCCATTGCCTAAGAATCTGGGAACTTGATCTATTCATGAAGGGATATGACTTCTGTTGCTGTTCTGCATATCAGTGGATCTGGAAACCAGTTTTTCCTACAGTAAGTTCAACACAGGTCAGGAACTCCAAGAAAACGTTTCAGGATTTGGCTAGAAAGTAACACAGTTTTTGCTATTCATCACCTGCTTCAAGATGTCTGAGAGCTGCAGCTCATCCTTCTGGCTTGAAAGCTCCTCTTTGACTTCTGAGTAGGTATCATTGATGATGGCCAGAAACATGTTCTAAAGAAATAGGAAAAAAAGAGTTTAGCCTGAGACACTTTGTCCACCCCAGCAGGTGAGGCAGCAAGATACCAACATAGCTGTGCAGGGCTCAATTAAACAAGTCGCTGTTCTCACATGGGGCAATACCTTAGGAAAAGGGAAGTACTGGGGAGGAAAGCTGATAGCTAAAGCAGTGGCCAAAGGTACATTTATTCTCAGCTCAGACACCACCTCCAGTAGCCTCTCCTACAATATCTTAAGCTACATTCACACTCTTGACAGTTTTAATTTAATGAACGTCCCTCTGCATCCATTACCTAGGAAGTCAGAGAGGGGGGATTGAGGGGTCTCTCAAACACTGCTGTCAAATAGAGGTAAGGAGGCCTTTCTTGCTTACCAGGAGCACAAAGAAAACAAAGAACACGTAGGTGACGAAATAAACAGGCCCAAGGACCCTGTTGGCATTGTCAATGGAATTGTAGTCAAAGTCACCAAGAATGATCCGAAATTGCGTGAAGCTGGGGGAGAGGAAGAACACAAGGTCACACATAGCCATATATGTTTACCTTACTTCCTAAAGACAGTCCTGAGAAGAACTCTAAACTTGCCTGCAGCCAAGATGGTCCAAAGCAGGGTCCAAGACCCTGAGAGAGGGACCATTTCTTACAGTCTCCCTAAAAGCAGAACCTGGATGCCAGAGGTCTACAAGCATAGGCAGAAAACGACTGCTATACCACGTAACTCCCACATATTGCCCTAGAGAGCACGTGAGCTGAAGGATTGTCCAAGACCAGCATTCTTAACCTGCTTCATTGACAGTCTCTTCTGCAGGTGCTCATCTACTTGCTGTTCATCCCCCATCTAAGATGTCCTGACACAACCTGTGAAGCTTCTCTGGAAACTGACTGCTGAAACAGCCCTGATAAATAGACACATGCAGACAGACATACTGCAATTAGGAGGAAAAAATAGGGGGGCATGCAGGGAGGCATGCAGAAAGAAGACACACAAGTGGTGTGCAAGGAAAAGAATCTTGAGATCTTGCAGCCTGTCTGAGGAGTCCAAAGCTCCATTTTGGATTCTTTTGGTTTATTTGAGAGAGTTGGGAATGTCCTTCAGGTCTAAGAGAGAGGAATACAGTATTGCTTCCACTTCTTTGATTTAATTTGTTCCCATTCAGTAATGTTGAAACGTTTCCCTCTGGTAATAAATATCTTTTTATTTCTTTTGCTTTGAAAAATGTCTAGTTTGTCTTCTTTAGACTACTATTCGACTTACGAAACATCATGCTGAATGTGTTAAAATAAACATATTAGGACTATCAACCTTCAGAAAGACCTGTTATTTTGAAGCAGATAAGCCCTAATATTAAAATCAGATATAAACTACATAAAACATTATGTATTTTAAAGGCAGTTACCAAATATACTCTATCTTATTTAATCTATGGAATATTTCTAACATCATATTTTATATAAAACAAATTAATAAATAGAAGTAGTTTCTGACTTTTTCCTGTTTCAGTGCTTAAAGCTATCATACTGACTAATGCATTACTTCCAATCTTTCCTTCTGAAGTCCTGAAGCAAGCAATAATATTTTTACCGAATCTTCCTTTACATTAAAATACACCACCTGAGGAAAACTGAGAAAGTTTTCAAGCAGCTGTTGTGCAGACACTGAAATTATGTGATCAGTGGCTCTATTTGGAAGCCACAACATTTCAAAGCACCAGAGCTTCTATCTGGACCTCTTCTTTATTAGAGAAATAACACTGGGCTTACCTCACAACACCTATTTTGAGGAATTTAGTTCCTACCACCAAAATAGAGAAGTTGAACATAAGTAGACATAAAGCTACCTGCTGTTGTATAAAACCAGAAATCTGTTAATGTCTCAGCAGCAGACAGCATCATTCTGTTACCTCAGTGGCCCCACAGGAGATCGGAAGACGACAGATTGGTGAGGAGAGCAGTAACTACACTGTTCACTATCAGCTGAGCTATGACGCTTTTCTGCAGAATTGTTGTAAGTTACGCTGCATGCCAAGTGCTGTTGCTGTACCTAGCAATGCCACATCAAAAGATGTCTATATTACTGACAAACAAAACTGCTCACTAAACTGTCAGGCTGGGATTTCTATTGAATCAAAAGGCTGTGAAGAGTCTCAAAGCATCAGCTACTCACATCCCTGCTGATAATCACTAGACAATCAAATCTATTACCTTCAATTTTCTCACTGTGTTCCTTTGTCCACGATGACATTACGAATGTGGGACTATGATCCGCTTTTTAGCCATTGCGGCTTTAGTACATGAGAGATAACAGGTATCCGAATGACAATCAAATTCGCAGTTGGGAACAGGTTGGAAAGCAGTTAAAATTCTTTAGACAACAGCTGGCAACAACGAAAACTTAATTATGGCCAATACACTTACATGCATTTAACAAAGGTACTGAAGTTTTCCACTTGTGTCCCAAAAAGAAGGTAACCCAACTGGGCATAAGCAAAGAAGACAATAAAGAACATAATGGCAAAGCCCAGGATGTCCTTGGCACAACGTGCCAACGTGGAGGACAGCTGAGTCATTGTTTTGTTAAAGCTAATATACTTGAATATCTGCAAGAAAGGAAAAAAAAAATAGGGACAAAGTTAGGTCAAACCATCAGCAAAGTCAGTCTCTCTCCTTCACGCATATGCTTACTAAAGCACCAAGGAGATAGCCAGGCTGAGGGAATAGTGGCCTAGAGTTCAGGCCACTTCAGTTTGCCCCAGACATGCTACCACTTTCCTATGAGGTGATGAACATAAGAATTTCCTCCCGCAAATGAAAATATAAAGAGGATACACATCTTGACGATAGTGAGGATCCCTAAGTACAGCACAGCCTTCCATCACACCAACATGCTTTCGTTGACATGCAGGATGCCTATCAACAGACAAGTCACCTCCAGTTGTTGGGTAGTGATAGTGAAAACAGTACATGATGGACAAAATTGTACTGTATTCAGCATTTAATTAAAAAAAAAAAAAAAGAAAAAAGAAAAAGAAAAAGTCTTTTACACAACTTCCAAGCTCATTTCCCTGTTTATCTCCCCATAACTGGATTCAGAAAGTAAGGTGAAAAGCCGTCTGGAGTAACTATGAAATTGAGCTTATGTCACTTAGAGAAATAATTCCCTGTTTTATAACTGTTAGCCTCATTCACTCAGATGGAAGAATTAATCCCAAGCTATCTAGAGGAAGAGGTAGAGTCTGAAGCCTTGGCACTTTCCTTACAATACCTTGATCCAGGCGAAGAATAAGTTGACTGCATTCATATTATTGTACTGAGTCTGCCAGAATGCAAGGAACTCAAAGTCCGCGTAGGTTTCAGGATGTTTCAGCAGCTCCCCCAACAGTCTGTTCACCTCTATGGTACGAAAGATGTGAAATCCAATAGCAACAATGGAGAGCTGTAAAAATGAAGGATCTGCAGTGACTAGAGAAGTTAACATGCCACAGAATTCCTTAGTATCACAGTTCATAAGTCTACTGGTGAGGATGTAAACAAGACTGTAATGCACTGGATTACCTTACTCCCTTACTTCACAACCTCAAAAGCATGATTAAGAATTTTCTTCTAATACCTGACAGATGAACACACGTCTATTTTGCTGGTCCATTTTTCTATAAGAGGATATATGTGCCAGTTCTTATCTAGATGAGTTTCTCCTTTCTTTCATTAGTTCTGTTTTTCAGCCCTTCAGCCAAAGAAAAAAAAAAAAAAGCGTGCAAGCATCCTCACCAGAATGACAACCACATCCAAGATGTTCCATATGCTGGTAAAGTACTGAAGCCTGTGGATACGCAGCTCCAAAATCTCCTCCACCACATAGTAGAAGATGAAGACACAGAAAATAATTTCACAGGCAACAATGAAGAAATCCCATGCGCTGACATATCGTATAAGCTTGACTGTCCGGATTTGCCAGGAGGGAATGGCACCACCAGTGGCCGGAAACTCCACCACTAACCTTCAAGGGGAAAAGAAAACACTGATAATTACAAAAGGGGAAATGGAGGCATCAAACTTGAGAATGAGATACCCGCCACACTATGTGTGGAAGAGTTGTGTGGGTGTTTATGCATTCTTTTTTCTGATGCTTCACTACTCATGACCGGAAAGAATGAAAGGCCAAGAAGGGTGACTAGTAGCGTCAGGAAAACCAAGTCTAATCCACACAGTATCTACTGATGCCATCCAGTCCTACAACCAGTTGCAGACAAGGTTATTTTTGCATTTTAAGACACTACAGCATCAAGAAAAAAGCAAGAGGCAGTAGAATTTCCAGTGGGACTCAGCCTACCTCAGAACACAGAACAGATTGATATTTGCATTATACACCGAGAAATCAATGAAGACAACTCGTGTCCCCCGATCCAACCATAATTTCTCCTTCAAGACTTGCAGGGCTTCAGCACTCTCTTCTCTGGTCAACTTGAGGTCTATGTAGTATCCTCCCCCACTGTAACTGGTTAGTCTTCCCCAGTGAGATGAGCCACCCAGCTCTTCCTCAGAATGGTACCTCCACCTGCAACAGATTATCTATGAGCAAAGGCATCGCTTACCACCCACAGCCTGGGATACAACCTTGCAGCCAGGAGAAATGAAACCATTTCTTCAAAATATAGAGCTAATCAAAGAGTTAGCACTTAACTCCTGTTCCAGGGCTGACCCTACATCAGTCCTTCACTGTCAATAGATTACTGATCTAGTGACTTTCAGTAGTGACAGAACACAACTTATCGTATTATGGAGTGAAATTTCTGCAGGTTCACTGACTATGCTACCTTACTTGTTTGGAGGAGGTTACTCCAAGGATCTGCTATATTGCCTTCTAACATGTGGCATACAGCCCTCTGCTTTGAGCACACTTGCACAATTTTATGAACAACAGTTTCTCTTTCACAGCTTCTCAAGCTGCAAGTAAGGAGTTATTAAACTGCAGCTGCTCCACAGCATTACAGAGGAAAATCCACACAGAACTGCATGAATCACAAGTAAGGAAAAAAAAAAAAAAAAAAAAAAAAGACCACCCAACCCACTATGTAAGTGTGAGGCAGGTTTTATGTGCTACCTTCCATTTCAATTAGAAATTAGAAGGGCTGGATCTTAAGAAAGTGATTCGGATATCTCTTAAGAAAAAAAAAAAGGCTAGGAAAATCTTGGAAAAATATTTTCAAGATGAAAGAGGTACATTCCCTTAAAAACAGACAAAATGCCTGTTCTAATTCTTTACCTTTAACTGCAAGGGAAATTCCAGCATTCAGCAGATCTTACTTTAAACAGAAGTGAATAATTTGAATCAATAAAAAATAAAAATAGAAATCACAGACTTTTTAATTCTGAACAGTAGAAGATGTACTTACGCTGTTCCATTGATGAGTCCAAAGGAGACTTTTTCCTCTTTGTCTTCTGAGTATACACCATAGCAGCCTGAGATCTCCTCTTTGAAGTCATCATGAACCACACAGGAGTTGTTCTTCACCTTCAGCTGTCGCATGCGTGGGACACCCAGTAGCAGGTTCTCGTAATAGATGTATGACTGAGTGTTGTGTGCTGCTAGGGACTCATTGTTGTACCACTTTGTCCAGTAAAGATTATCCAGAAGAGGACCTTGTGCATACTGCATGAGAGGGAGAAGAGAGGAATTTTCTCGGCCTGGACTTGAGATGGTAAGACCTGACCCACGCTGCTCTATCCCCGAGGTGGGAAGTAGTAGAACTTGTGTCGGATATATGCTAAGGATGGGAGCACGCATACAGGGCTGGGTGGAATTGCAGGACAGAAGAGGGATGCTGAGCAGCAGGTTGCTTTGTTAGCTCCTCACAGGTTTGTAACATGCTTTCTGCACGTTGTGCTAATGAAGAGACAAGGGCTCTGCAAGTCTTTTTGTCTCTTCCTCTTTGGTGAACACAAGTTTTGAGAAACTGTCTTGGCATAAGGTATGAATTACAAAGACAGGGCGGACCAGCTCCCTGGAAATGCTGGGGGGGAAGCAACAGTGTCACAGTTCATTGTCCTATTTTAATACATCAGAGAAAGACAAAGATAGCTGACAATGAATTTCTGGCTGACTGTCAGAGATAAGTGGTTGCAATATCTCAACAACATTCACTGTGACCCAATATTATTCCTTCTCCAGTTCTTTGATAAAAACACACTGGATTCCAAACATTTTTTCCAACTTTATTTTCTTTCAGAAAAGTTAGTGCAAATTTTAATCCAGCTTCTTCATTAAAAAATCTACAGGTCAGACAAGCCCAGGCATAAATTACAGGCAGGTTAAGCATGCTGTTCCCACAGTTACTCATAAAAATGGAAATAAGATTATTGCTAGGAGACAAACATGAAGACATTAGACTGTAGGATTCAAAGCCATTTCTAACATGAGAAAGCCTGGAATAAATCACTTGGACTGTCTGGGTCTGAACTCACTGCTTATACAACAAGTATGGCAGTTTCTTTTTGTTATGTCCTGGCTTGTTTAGCTGATAAATTCTGGACTCTAATCGATACAAGTAACACTCAGACTGGCCAATATTCTGGCCACAGCGCTAAGAGGAGTATAATATATTTTAAGCCTGTGGATATTCTGCATGCATGTGACAAACTATTGCCAACAGCTAGCAAGCAGTAAAATGTTTTGCTGAAAGCATTAAGCAGCACATTCGGAAGGAACTGAATATCCCAGCCTCGCTGACATTTCCTTGGCTCACCATGCCAGGCCACGAGTGTACTCACCACCCAGAAGTCAGCCATGCTGCCAATGGACTGGAAGGAGACACGGCTGTCCGAAGAGCTCTGCAGGAATAACTCAGACATCACTTTTGTGTAGTAATAGGCACTGGAACTTGTCATACCATATGTCACTAGGAGAAAAGAAAAGGGCCGCCCTTACACCTAAATCTTGGAGCCATATATATAGAGAGACACACACACGTTCATTTTCTGTGCAGTTTATTCTATGTAAGTAAGCTGAGCAAGATGCAAGTGATGAGACCTTGGGAATGCAAGTCACATAACTTTTTGCTTGCTTAAGGATCTACAACTTCATTTGCCGCATGCTCTAGAATTTAAACCATCAGACTGACAGATTTTAGGTATTTAAAGGCCAGAGAAGACCACTGGATAATCTAACTTATTCTCCTGGATAACATTATCTTTTCTCCTTCAGAGAAAAACTCTGAGAGAAGTCTTTCTCAGAACATCATTCTGGAGATGTACTTTGAATGCACCTCAGTTTTGATCTAAATTTATGAAGGTATATAGAAACTATCCATGTTCCTGAGTGGAATGCTCTATGTAAGTTTTCACATACTAAAAAACCTCAAAATGTCCCTGAACATGTTGTTTCAACTCTCCAGGACTCCTCTCTGTGGAAGAGCATTCATCATGGTGATCACTAAGAACATGTCCAACTACTGAAAGGGTATCACAAAAATAAAGCAGCTGACGTTTAGCATCCAACGCTTCTAAATGAATCACTGTGCGACCACATGTACGTCTGTGTGCACATCCTAGTTCTTTAGGAAGCACTATCTCCCTGGGTCAGTGTGATAGTACCTCAGATTGGAACTGTCTGTTTATCTCTCCTGCCATAGGGCCCATGAAATATAACCCTTTCCACTGCTTCATGCCTCAGCTGCTAATTTGCGATAACGATTGAAGCTTCCCAAAAAACCAGACAGACATTGTTCTAACCCCACAAAGACCATTAGCATTCAGTACAGCGCTGCATTAAATCCACCCAAGAACAACATGAGCTGCCATCTGCACTATCGCTTCAGCAGCCCTACCAATCTCAGAGAGGAATATCTCTCAAAACCCTGTGTCTCTGATCCCAAGAAGTTTCTAAAGCTGCTGTCTTACGCTTGAACGTTTTCTGTAGAACAAGAACTTTGCACTGATTCTCCCCAGACTCTGTGACGTCAACAGCTGGAACTGATAACACAGCTTTGGAAACACTGCTTAAACCTGGCAGGTTTAACCAGTTTAGAGCAATTTTCAGCTTTTTCACTTGTGTGTGCAGAGCTATTCTGTAGGTTAACAACACACCCACATGCTGCAGTGAGTATTCGTACAATAAATTTAACCTGTACAGCAGGATGAGGAAGTCTAATAACAAAGCCCCCCATGTGTTGCACACCAGTGAGATACGTTACTTACGCAGACATATGTCCACCAAGAACACAATGTAGACTAGGAGCTCTCGTAGAGTAGTCTTCACATAAAGTTCTCTGTTTTCAGCTGTATTCTCAGTTAGCGTAGTGCCCCAAAGACCTTTGGGATGTAAGAAAAGAAATGGAGAGTTTGATGACCATTCTCAAAGGCTACGTGAGGAGCTCTATTTCCAAAGAATGACATTTCCCTTTTTGTTGTTGTTGTTTTGGTTTTTCATTTTGTTGTGCTAAACCCCTCCAGCTTCCTGCCTGAATTCAGCAAGGACTGATCTTTTCCTGCCTGTTTTTCAGCTTACTTCTTGCAGAAATTCAGTCTTTCTCATAAGTTCTCTAGGAATTATGTAATTTCATCCCAGTCATGCATGTGCCAACATCTTACCTTCTAGTAAGGACTTCTATACTGAACTGCATCTGACGTTCACTTTACAGTTATTAGCTCTTTTTAGAGTATGATGAACTGCCAAGCTCAAAATATCTGTCCCTTGCTTGCTCACAAACTCACAGATATTTGGTATGCTATAAGACTCAATCAAATAGCTCAACTCAATATTTTCAGCATAAAATATAAAGCCAAATTGTCTTCAGGATATCCATCAATGGAACTACGCTGACTTCAATAAAACATGCCAATTTATACCAGTTAATGTTCTGATTTCTTCACACGGTGAAAGGAACTCATAAAATGTCATTAGGATTGATCAAAAAGACAGGAACACTTCCTTTTAAAGAAACTTCAATATTTTGGTTTTGATGAACCGCCAAACGCCTTTAATGACTCTGCTTGTTCTTGCATAATGGCTTTACATCGTAATTTCAGAAACTTTTTTTGCAGTTAAAAGGCAGAAGAACTTCCACTTGAAAGCCTGGTGATGGAATATGTGTCAATAATATCCACAGACTCTGTGTTTTCAGCACCTCCTAGAGAGCTCAGCCCTGGTACTCATCCCCAGTGGGGCACAACAACCATCTTCCTGCAAGCCAGGATCAAAGGCAGCACATCTGAAGTCGTCCCTGGCAAAGGAAGGAGTTGGGCTCTTTGCTCTGGCGCAAGCAAAAGTGCTGCAGTGGCCTGTGAACATTCACCTCCATCCTGTTGATAGCTCTTTGGCATCTCAACAAAGTAGAGAGCTTTTTTGTACTTTCAGATGTCATACTGACTTTTTCAGCATCCGTGCTCACTCTTGGACAGACTGCTCTAGCCAGACCAAGCCGAGCAGTAGAAATGAGCACCTACATGAGGTGTGGATTTATTCTACTGCAAATGAGTAGCATGTGGTCTATGAGAACTTCCATAATGGAAAGAAAAAATAAAACTAAACTGTGGGAAACAACAGGGCAGACACATTACCAAAAGCGACAACAATAAGACTGAGACAGTACAAAGAAAGCACCCTTCTCTGAGTAGCTGGCCTAAATTTCACTGTTGTCATTGGACCCCTGATGATTTCAGTCTTATTCTCATTTTTCTGTGTAATAAACAATGAAAGACAAGAAAACGTGAGCAGTGCAACCAAAGGAATTTAAAGGGCAAGAACTTTGAGTGTGAGGGGCTTGTTGATAAGGACAATCTGTTCAGGTCACTTAAATTACCCCCTTCATCTTTAGATATGACTATACCACAATATTTCAGGGTTGTTTTTTTTTTTCTCCCCCCCAACCCCCAACATGAGGCAGGGAACCCCTAGTGTCCACACGTTGAGAACAGAGATATCCCTATGAGATCAGTTGAGCCATTTCTGCTGCCTGTCCCAACCTTTGGACCTCACCTGCCCAGCTCTGGTCTATCCTACAACCCTACTGTTTACTAACCTTGCTGGTGGGAAACACTGCTGCAACTACCATAAAAGAAGGGAATGCTGTACTGTCCTGATCTCTATTTTCATTTGCACTCTCCAATTTCAAAAACTGAATTTTGCTGATAAAGTATGGATTTATTTTTTCTTTTTCTTAACCTACCAACCCCAGCCTGCATTGCTCCTTGGTAAACCAGAGATCTCTGTACACCTCTGCTCTGGCTTCTTTGTCAATTAACAATGCTGAACTGTAAGTGTAAGGACAACTGTCGTTCAGGCAATGTGGATGCTCCTTCCAGGTCAGCTAAAGATGATGCCTGGAGTAAAACCAGTCTATACTGAGCACATTCCTGCTCTATACAGGTATTATGCAGCTCCTACCTTCTGCAACCCCACACTTCCCACCCAAGTATCATTGCTTTTCCCAAGGGCTAGTAAATCCAAACTACTGAGATATCAGAGCTTTACCTCGGATGCCTCTGAAGATGTAGAAGCAGCACTTGAGGAAAGAACTTGTCTTCCCCGCCATAGTTTTGTTCTGTTCCTCCTGGTATGGCACCGGATCCCTCGCCTCTTCAAAACTCTCATAGGGATTCTCCAGAATTGATTTGGGATTGTAGATGGCTCGAATCTTCAAGGAGGTAGAGGGCGAGCCATTGTAGACAGGATTATCCCAGGCTTTCTTCCCCACAGCCTCCAGTTCATGCTCCTCTGGAGACTGAAAGCGGCTCTCAACTCTGTTGCTCAGGTGAGAAGAACTCATAGCTATTTACTGGCAGCAGAAGTGCTTATCAGCTGGAGCTGTGAGCTAGCAGAGAGGGAATCAGTCAGTGCCAAACAGCACGTCTGCCTCGGGAGAGGGTGCATGACCAGCATCCCACAGAGAGCGCACACACTCTGTTTTATACCAGCTCAGCTGGTGACACGTACGGGAGGGTGGCACCAACCACCATAGAAACCACCGTCAGCCCTACAGTGACACGGCCCTGCTCCTAACCGAGATGGCAGACCCCGGTGGGGCTGTGGCAACAGGAGGCTGCCAGGAGACAGTGCCAGAGCTGCAGGGAGAAGGGGGTGGCTGGGATTCAATCGGACCCCTCGGGCCACCTGCAGCATAGATGGGCTCTGACCGGGAAGCACAGCGGGTACCCGAGCGAACGCCACCGGAGCGGGCACACGGTGGGCACAGTCGGACAGACCGTCTGCGACGGAGGAAGGTCTGAACTTCTCGGGAAGGGTCGAAGGATAGAAAGCTGTGCGGGACTGGGCTGAGATTGTCACCAGGTGGCGCCGGCAGCCCTGGCTCGGAGGGGTAGCAGCTCTGGAACCGCTGCTCTCAGCGAGAAGCTTGGTTTGGCACCAAAGCAATCCCGGTCACAGCTTCCCCAGCTTTCTCCTTGCAACTCATTATTAAAGGCAGGAGCAGAAAGTGAGAGTAAAGTTCTAGTGCTTGCTTTGGAAGCCAGGTGCTGAGCTCTTCAACTTTTACAGAACTCCCACAAAACCCTGCAGTGCCTGCTTGCTCTGCTGCAAACCAGGACTGTCAGGCAAAACTGCAAATCACAAGAGCAAGGGGGTGATGATGTTCACCCACCAGGTAGCAGCAAGAAGTAGTCCCACATCTCACAGGTGCTGCAGTAAGATGGCAAAGGAACATGTAGTCTGACCCTGGTCCCTCCTCAAGACTTTTGCAAGCAGTTCTCCATGGGGAGGTACTTTTCCTGACTACCCAGGTTTGCAGCTGTAGGACCACAGGGCTCAAAGGTACAAGCAGGTATATTTTCCCTGGACTGTCATGTTTATACAGGTGACACTGCCAGGCCAGCTGGATGAGGACATCCCCTTTTCTCACCTAATAGAAGATAGCATCCAGCATTTTTCTAATAGCACCTTTCTGTCCTTATCTCATATGTATTCATTTATTCACCAACCACCCATTCTTGTGAAAGCCAAACATAATTTCTCTTCTCCAATCCTTTTCTGCGATGAAGTCAATTTTTCAGCGGGCCTAGAAGAAACACTCTAGAAATACACAGGCAGGTTTATTTCTAAACCCAGAAACCATCATCACAGTAGATTCAGCACAATAGGGTAAGACAAAAATCACAGCCCCAGAACTTCTCCTGTCAATAAATTCCTTGTGAAACAATGCAGGTTAAACTGCTTCCTGAACTGAGCACTCATTCACTGCACATAGAGGTTCTCCAAGCAGGTAGGCTGTCAGCAGAATAGATCACAATTAGCTACAGGCAACCAAAGACATCAATATGGAATCACTGCACTTACTGCAGAGGAAATCGCCTCCCTCTTACCCTTCTGCAAGAAGAACATTTCTTCAAGAGAACTTGAAAATGTTTTGATTTATTTGCATAGTATGAAACAATGATGGGCCATTACTTTCTGATGTCTGACATAAAGCCACCATGCTCCATCTGTCCCACCAGGCCCCATAGCAGCTTTTCTTGCTAGAGATGACAGAATTTGGCTAAGCTAGCCAATTCCTGCAATCCATGGGCTTGCTGCATTAAACATGTTCGCTGGCTTGTTTCTAAGAGCCAATTCTCCTACTTTGAGGGGAGGCTGAAAACTTGTCAGGGGGCAGCAACAGTGCTTTACAGTTTAACATTAATTTCTGAAAGCACTAAACTACTAACTACTGGCTGTAGTTTCCTTTGAATTCTCACTTAAAATTATTTTCTGTCATGATTGATATGTTAACTGCTTTATAAAGAAGTATAAGCCAGAGCTAATTCTGTCATTTATTTGTAGTGCGAAGATCACATCCTGTGGCAAATACATGAGAGTGAACTCAGGTAGAAGGGATTCAGAAAGGAATATCTGATTTCCTGTACAGCATCAAAATTAAAATGCTTTACAAACAGTTTGAATGAAAGGCAGAGAAAAGAGGACGAAACATAGAATCCTTAGAGTAGGAAATATGTACAATAACACAATTACATGGCTCCTTAGTTTTATGACATGCCCTTTCCAAAAAGGAAACAATACAACAAATAACAAAATACAACACAAAACAACTATGTAGTGGATGTCAAAGATAGTAAACAAGTTATTCAAATAAAAATGTTTTCTAGTATTTAAATACCAGCACAGTGTTGTATCTCTATAGCTGCAAGACCTTCACACCTGCTTTGGGGAGTGAAGCTGGAGGATGAAGGCTGAAATGAAGTCCTGCTTTTGTGCAACACCGGGGACCAAGAGGCCTCTTTCTCAGTGTTGTCCCCTACTGGGACAGTTTTGATCAATAAGAGGAATCTTATTTGATTGCTGTCATTAGGCAAAGTGGACAGGAACATTCTGAACTTAGACGCCTTGTTACATACAGTGCACGGGGAAGGAGTTAATCACAGTAAAACACACTCAAAAGGAACAAGATGGTACGCTTGGTTTCATTTTCGCTATATCCTGAGAAGTATGTTGTGATGAGAATTTAGCGGGGGAAAAAGCAGCCAGAGGGGGGCAGCCGCACTCCATCACAAGAGAGCCCCATGGCCCCAGCCCCAACCCACAGGCGCCCCACGCTTGAGACCGTACGGGCGAGCAGGGCTAAAACATAACATCAGCTTGGTAACGTGGCATTTGGGCTGCTGCCTCGTGCCCAGCTGGGCCCTCTGTCCCAGGCTATGGGCTGAGGTGGCACTCCAAGTGACTGCAGGCCACCTCTTCTACTGACTTCCCAGACAGGCTCACATCAGGTCAATCCCACCAGCACTCACCTTCCCAGACAGCTTAGTTTTATCCTCTGCCAAGCCCGTTCAATAGCCACATACTCTGCCCCCTTGATTAATAAAGAAAAGACAGGTAAAATCAGCACAGCCCCACACAGACCCATCCTGCACTGCTTGGACAGAGCTACAAAACACCTGCTAACAGCAAAAGAAACAGTGAATGTCTGCTATCAATCCTCTCTCTGAAGATCAGTGCAGGTGTTTGGGATGATGTGACGGCAATTTGTTGCACCTGGGAAAGGTTTTTCTTGCAGGTTACTGATTCTTGTATGTCATCTGTGTGCTGCAGGTTGGTGGATGGGACTAAGGGCTACAATTGGATGAGTAGTTCAAATTAACATCCTTAGCACAAGTTATGTATCACGTAACTCACACCTGGATAGAGCAAGCCATCTCTGTCTGTTCCTGTCATGCCCAGAGCAAGTTTTAGAGATAAGATGCACTGAGATCAAGGATCTCCAGAGCAAAACCTTGATTATCTCTGCAACTGTTTGAGGATTATCTAGAGATTATCTATATTCTTTCAGATGCCACCTGCTGACATTTTCATGCTTTTTCCCGTAGTCCCTAGCTGAGATTCACATTAGTACCTACATGCTGAATAGGAGAGACAGACAGTCCCCAAGGGTGAAAAAATGGCTATAATAATTCCAGCAGCATGAGGGGAAAAGGTGAATCCCTGCACCTGAGGCCAGGTAACCTCCTGAGATCCAGCAACAATCTCCAGAGAAGAAATGCAGAATGAGGAGTCCTGACACTTTTAGAAACTGATGGAGGGACTCTGGGCACTAAAGAACTGCCTAGTCCTCTCCCAGCATGTCCTAAGCTTGCTCCCATGATTCTCAGGCTGACGGGGCTGGCCAGGTCCTGGCTGGAGAGCAGAACACATTTTTCAAGAGCTGGAAATGATTCACCACCTTTCTACCTCTGTCCAAGCAGTTACTCTAACCAAAGCATTTTCTAGATTAAGATCATATGTGCACAGAGCAATTGCATTAACTCAACCTGCACAGTCCTATGTTGTACGGGACTTTGTGTTTAATTCCTGATCATATCATTCCGAACAATACATAAGGATCTCATTTTATAGATAGAAAAACAAGGTAAGAAGGGCTCAAGTGGCTTTTAAAATAAGCCAGAGGCTAGCATCAGTGTTAGGCTTAGATGCTACATATGCTTGATATTCAGGGAGGAGCCAATCACCTGGTTGAACCCACTCTTGACAGATTGAGAAAGAGGTGGTGAAAGAGGAGCCTGAGCCCTACCAGTCACTGGCAACATGGTGTGTTTGCACATCAGCCAGCTGTTACCTGCGTTCCAGCGCTTTCCAGGCTCACCCTACCTCAGTACCCAGATAAGTCAGCTGGGATCCTGGGGTCCCTGAGGAGGGCTCCAGGGATATTTCAGAAGTTGGGACATCCTTGTGTACCTAAGCAGGATGATTTCTAATATATTTCTCACTCTTGCTGGTTTAGTACAGACTACAGAAGTAGGAAGTTTGATCTTTCTGCCGTCACGTTTATCATCTGGGAAAGTGAGCAGTCCTACCACAGGTATGGATCCCAGCACCATTCTAGCAGCCCTTCAACTGTGTGCTGTCAGTATGTTTTCCCAAAACCTCTGCAAACCATACTTATCTAGGTAAAGCTAGGAGTGAAAGAACAGCCACGGCAATGCTGTGTAACTACATCAAAATTCATAGTGAAAATAGCAACTCTGCTACTTTCCCTTACCTTACTTTCTTTCGCAAAGACTCATGGATAAAAAGGCCTGTCATCAGCCAGAGAAAGCTGAATTAATTTCAGTATCCACACGGGTTCTTCTAGAAGGTTATGACTGAATTCTTTGGAAACGTGACTACCTCCAGCACAGCATGAAGGGAGCAAAAGGCATACCTTTCAGAATGTGCCAAATGCATGCTGTGCAAATGTGTGAATGCACGTGGTGGGCAATCATCTGCTGCAGCTCTCCAGTGCCCGAAGGTCCAGACTTTGTAAGAAGCCTTTGTAGACTGAAC